CTGACCGACCACTGCGAAAGTTGCTTAACTTCAATGATCGCAGCCGAACGCGCTAACTACTTGTGCTATCGAGCTCCCGAGAGAATTTTACTCGCAAGATTTGATAGCGACAAAAGAAGGCGATAGCAGACACCGTGATAAGAGAAATTCTATAAGACATGAAAATCTCGTCAAAATATTTGTCACGTTCAAGCTCAAAAATAACGAAAATTCAAACTATTACATTACTAGTGCATCGCTCTGTTTGTTGCGCTTTAATCGTCAAATAATTATTAACTACTTATCAAAAATATTTCCGTAAACCATAATAAACATACCTTGAGTGAACACAACACATAATAACGCAAAAAAAGTAAATTCATTCTTGAATAACATTACTCCTTCAACTGAACTTTTAAAAAGCTATTTTAACTAAAAAATTAACACTAAATATTAGCAGTGTACACGATAGAGCACATCAAAAGTTCACAGTTATATCTCACGAGACGAGACGAGAAAGACGTCTATATATTACGAGGGGCGTTCAATGTATTCTCGGTTTCGGGATATATTTACTCATAATGAGGGTAATTAAATTATTTAATTAGTTAATAACATCTTACCATTAAGGGAGTACATGCAAAAATTCATTTAATTGTCACCATTAGTATTCAAGGTATCATTATGTAAAGGCAACTACGATGACTTATAAGACAATGTAGAAAAAAATCGAGCATCGCCCTGAGAAAAAAACCCTCACAAAACAAGGAAAAACTCAAAGTGTAATTCACAAAAAAATGGTGACTGTTTACCAAGATTCTGCCCCTTTATTATTTACAATTAAGAAGTGGTCAAGATAATTTTCAAGAGTATTCAAGACGACTGCCGCGCCGGTGGGCCGGTTAGCGTACTGAAGAAAACGTCATAATCGTTGAAAAATCTTTTCGACGATTAGAACGATACTAGAAGATGCCCGTGTAAGAGTGAAAATATTAGCACAAAGAACTTAGCTATCCCTGTCCCCTAAACAAACACCTATATACAATAGGAGTTACAGACAGCCCCCTATGCAGAGGATGCATGGAGGCAGAAGAAACGCCTCAGCATGTCATCATGGAATGCAGGAGTGTGGCCGACCAACGGGCACGACTTCTCCAGTCACCAGAATCGTTTCCGGAAGCTTGCAGCAGTCTACCAAGGCTGCTTTCCTTCTGTAGTCTTTGTTCCGTAACTCTTGACAAAAATGACGTATGACACTTTCACCATGAATCAAATCTTGTGCACGGAAGATGGCATGTAGTACCATTTATATTTATTAACATGCTTACTGACCAAATTTTGTGGCATCAATACCTCTACCGCTTGACATGACCTGTAGTATAACACAAAACCGATTTTTTATTTGTTGAGCTGGTTTACATGTAGTTTCTTCCAGATTTACGATGATAATCCCATCCAACCAATTTTTATTTTGGCTTAACAACTGTTTGTTATTTCGAACAGCTTTAGTATAGTGTTGACAAAACTGAGTTATGAAAGATTTCTGTATACCTGCGATAATTTTAGCAATATTTGCATCTAAAGATTCGGTTAAATTGCTTTGTATATAGTTAGAGATGGAAACACCATAATTTGTATCACTTCCAATCAATAAGAGACTTTGTTCGCGTCTGGTATACAAGAACTGACTCATTACGGCAGGATAAGATTAAAATACAATTAGGAAGTAATGCAGAACTGAAATATTTTATACTCAAATGCACTATTTTAAACTGAAAAATTATGAAAGACGTGTGCAGAATTAGTAGATGTAAACTATTTTATCATTTTGCGTTTATGCTGTTTTCCATGATTCTTATGGGAATGGGAACTAAATATTGTGTGAAATACACGATATTAGTATTGCATAAGATAAACAAATATAAAAAATGGGCCAAGACCCTTTATTTTAATGTTCGTGCTGAGAAACCCGAAATCAGAAAGTCTTATTAAAGGTACTTAAAAATATATATGTTTTCGCACGCTGATATTCTAAGAGATTTGACAATGTTATGCACTGATGCCAATGATACAGCAAAATAAATTTATTGCCGTCAAATTATGTTTTATTATTTAAGAAATAACACAAAAAACAGAACTTCGGCAAATCTCAAAACTCCAACTGAAAGTTTAATAAACGAAAATAGTACACATTATGATATAGATTTTTGAATAAAGTAATATTAAAAAACTGCATATATTTTTATTTTATAGGAAAGAAGACATACTAAGCTTTCTAAAATAGTATCACACTTATATGATCTCTTTAGTTATGATACTATAAAATTATAACAAACTAACTGAAATCGTATTATTTATTTTTGTGTTTTGTTCATTCCCTGACTTTAGATGTTCTTCTTTATAAAATACAAAGAGTCAGGGACTTCAATCATATTGATTATGATAAAGTAACTCTTAAGCTATAATGTGTAAATGTATAATACATGCCTCGAATCACAGTTATGAAAAAAGCATTTATGAGATGGCTTTCTTAGGCGGGTTTCCATAGTGCGGAGCTTCAGAAACAAGTGCAATATGATTGTTGTAAGAAGTTTTTGGAGCTCTATGGTGAAAATCCGCAAAGTATGTTCGAGCGAATTGTTACTAGTGATGAAACGTGGGTTCGACGACTCTGAGTGCAAGCAAAAGTCTATGCAGTGGCATAAAAAAGGAACAGACCCACTGAAGAATCCCATCCGCCGGAAAGCTCATGGCCACAGTGTTTTGGGATCATAAAGGAATCTTACTAATTGAGTACACAAAAATTGGTCTACTGCTGAATATGACGCAAACACCCTGCTTAATTTAAAGGACGCAATAAAAGAAAAAAAGGCGTGGAAAACTGACCGCAGGTGCCTTGCTTTAATCCTAGTTGATAAAATTTTTCTTTCCTTGGATAGAATCATTAATAACCTGGCATCACTGGGTATTGGAGATTTGGAGAAGCGGCTTGCTTTCTGCATAAACTGCACCTTCCAATGTATGTGTAAATATCTTCCAATAATGTAGACAGGTCCGGTCATGGGAGTCCCTGCTCGGCAGCCGCGATCCGGCAGTAGCGGCTCGGCAGCAGCGCACTACTTTTTAAGTAGTTGTACGAGGCAAATGAAGGTGCTGATTCCCCATAAACTGCAGACATCTCTTCAAATATTTCCGTCGGCGTTTTGTTTTTCTTTGTGAGGAATTTTATGACATCTCTGTTCTCCAATTTCGTAGAAAGCGCTGATGAGTCAGACATGGTGATCTTTAAGGTTCAATTACTAAAAATGTAATGATGCTAATGACATGAAACTTAGTATTTATATTATTTAGAATCCCCCTAAATTAGTGGTGTATAGCACAACTCATTATTGATGATTAAAGGTACTGAGGCTCAAAACTTTTCAGCCGCCCCTGGTATAGGAGCTCGAAGGACACGTGGTTAGCGCTTTTGGCTGCGTACTTTGAAGTTAAGCAACTTTCGTAGTACCCACCATGTACAAAAATTTACTATGTCGAGCTCCTCCGTGGTTGTGAAGGCACGTTAAGACGTTGGTCCCAGCGACATCTGGGGTCAGGGCTGGATTTAAGGCATCCTAGGGATGAAATAGGGAAGATGGTTGGTATATACCACCAGCTTGTGAACCCATTATATAACAGATAAAATTATTAAAAAAAAAACAACCCCGTGCACACACTGCAAGACCAACAGATACTATTAGTTCTTTTTGTTTGCATGATTTAACATAAAAAGGAGATAGAAAGCCTCTCTGAGTTTGTTTCGCCGGTTCTTCTCAGAAAGGTCTCCCAATTTTGGAACCGGTGGTAGTTTACGGTAGTTAGGTTAGGTTAGGTTAGGATTAGGGTTAAACCTCAAAAGAATTAAATAAAGTACTGTATTAATTAAATTAAATACTAAATTTATTACATAGACAATAGAGTTTTTTATAAAAAATTCCAATGAAATATCCGAACGCTCAATAAAAGTCTTTCGAAGGTAGCTCGACAAAGTAATTAAAATCATAGTTCCGACGACGCGTTCCTGTATAGGACGCGAAACGTCAGTAAACAAATAAAATAAGTACATCTAACCCGTTGAAACGTGTTTTATTTAATGAGTGATGTGCCTGAAAACCTAAGAAACAAATTTTCATTAGTTCTAACATTTAATATGTTATAGAAGAATAGAACAAGTGACAGTTTTCTTACCACTTATTCTATATATTACCTACGATGGGAGTCTTTGTTCCCATAAGTCCTACGTTGTGATATGTTCCCGATGTTAGAAATCGTAAAGTTCCATGTAGTTTCCACTCTAAGAAATCTATAGAATTCTGTATGAGTTCTACCGTAAAACTGCTTTGAAGGACTAGGGGGAACAAAATGCTACTTCATCAACGACAACAGTCTTTCAAGTGCCATATCTATTGTTAAGCTTTTACTATCTGCTTAAAAAATTAAGTAACTGGCGCATTCACTATGAGTAAAGGTTTTATTTCCGCTTCTAGACCAGCATGGCAGAACATGGTTTTTAGAGGTTGGCGCAAAAGTAATCACTCTAACAGAAGATGTTGTAATTATTGAAATAAGTTTGGAAGGTTAATCATATTTGACATTTGTGATCTAGACAGATGCAGATTAGGAACAGGCAATGGAGCACTATACTATACAAAAGCGTGGACATATGTGATTTCAACCAGACAGTGCAACCGCACACATAGCACGATATGTTTTCGCCAGGATGATCGCCTGATTTAACTGCACCAGACTTCTTTCTTTGGGTCTGCTTTAAGTCTCGGGTTTATGCCCACAAGCTTCAGACAATTGCAGCGCTTAAAGAGTAATTCGTCAGGTATGAGAACAATTATAACCTGAAATTATGGGAAATGCGAAAAAACGAAATCATCTTTTCCACTCAACAGAAAAATCTTTTACATATAAAGTTATAAAAAACAAAATTGGATGATGACTTTTCCGCCACGTTGGAAAATAAAAATCTTTAGTACAGTCTTGTATTTATTTATTTCCAGACGATGCCTTCGATCCAGTCGAGGTAAGTGGAGACCCTGGTGTAGATGCCGGGCAGGTTGGCTAGGGCGCAGCCGACACCGAATGACGTCACTCCGATCACTTGATGCATCCGCCTACAGGAGTGATCAACATTGCAACTGTGAAAAAGAAAAAGTAGCTCTATACATAATGCATGGTACTGTAACGTCCGTTGCGTTACCCATCGCAGTACCCATCTTTACTCGCATGATACAAAGAACTCTAAAGATTTTTTACTATAAAAAATCACGTGGTTAATCAGACAGGATTCGAACCTGCAACTTTCTCTATTTATGCGCATGCAGTAAACAATTATGCCACCGAGACCTAATTGGCCGTTTAGCCGTGTCGAATTTCCTCCAGTATTTCTTAAGCTGTAAGCCAGTGCCATCTCTTCGCATTGTATTAAGAACGCTCATTTATTTATTTATTTCAGTTACACATGCCGGCTTATAGAAAAATCCAAAACGAAGGCCTGTCATACATAACAACATTAATATTGATTGGAGGTATTCATGCCAATTATATAAAATTAAGAAAAACAGAAAAAGCGAAAAAAGAATAAAAAATGAAATAACTACATAAATATTAAGTCAAATTGCCTATTGTAAAATTATTAGTTAATTAATGTTATAATGAAATAAATAATCATGTCAAATCAATAAAACAATTAATAATGTCATATTATTCCAAGAAATTAAAAAGTTCAATGTCAACTAAGAACAAATAATGTCAAATATACTAATTAATAAGACATTATTTATTACATTAAATTATTATTATACCATTTAAATTAATAATAAGTAAATTATCAAATTCAGAATAAATCAATAAGCTATATTCTCAAGAAAACCAAGTGCAGCCGCCATTGACTTTGTTAAAACTATCAGGAAACAAGTCGATATTGTCACATTGAGCGAGCATGTCCCCGATTATTCGGTCCGCGCGCGTAGTGGGTGCGTGCGCGGGCGCCGGCGGGACGCCACCAGACCGCCGACGTCGTGTGGGACGCGTGAGGGCACCGACAAATACACCCGCTCCAGCACGCCATGGCCATCCACTTTGCCATAGAGCACAGATAGATAATGGATGACAAGAATGACCTTTCTCCTAAGAGCGAGTGTATCCAGTTCTACCGTACCATACACGAACGATGAGGGATATAGATACGGATAATACCCATTGCACTTTTTATATAACCACCGAGCGAACTTCCTTTGCAACTTCTCCACCATGAGGCTATATTTATTCTCATGTAGGTACCATAGGACCGCCTCGTACTCGAGTTTACTTCGCACATACGCGTTATATAGTGCTCTGGCCACGGCAAAATTGCTAAATTCTGAACCTGTCCTCAGAATAAACCCCAGGAGTCGGCTCGCCGATTGGCAAATATATTGCCACATGTTTGTAGAAGTCCATTTTTTTATCTATAGTAATTCCTAGATATTTTATTTCGTCGATTCGTTCCAAAGGAGTGTCAAATAATTTATAGTCAAAATGTAACATGATCCGCTTTCTTGAGAATGTAATGATTTTACATTTTTCAGGATTGAAAGACAGACGATTACTTTCGCTCCATGCGGCCACGGCATCAATGTCAGTCTGCAAAGCATCTATGTCCGATTTATCACCTATCATCATCATCATCATCAGCCTAGTAATGTCCCCACTGCTGGGGCACAGGTCTTCCCCATGGATGGAATAGGGAGATTAGGCCATGACCCACCACGCGGGTCCAGTGCGGATTGGTGGGTGCTAACGACTGCAGATGCAACCGGGACCAACGGCTTAACGTGCCTTCCGAAGCACGAAGGAGCTCGAGATAGTAAATTTTTGGTCACCCATCCACTGACCGACCACTGCGAAAGTTGCTTAACTTCAACGATCGCAGCCGAACGCGCTAACCAGTTGCGCCATCGAGCTCCTCGATATTCTCCTCATTATCACCTATACCAAGATAGAGTTTGAGGTCGTCAGCGAATAAAAGACACTCAGCAAACTTAACACTATCCGGCAGATCATTCACCATGGCGAGAAAAAGAGTCGGACCCAACGTACTCCCCTGGCTTACACCGGAATGGGTGTAGTAAACCTGAGATTCATGCCCATCCAATCGTACAAACTGACATCGGTCGCTGAGGTAGTTTGCGAAGAACTGCAAAAGTCGAGGTGCAAAACCGATCCCTGATAACTTTCGCAGCAAGATGTCGTCATCAACGAGGTCAAAGGCTTTCTTGAAATCAAAGTAGCTGCTAGCTGACTTTCATGCAACCGGCTATTTATCTGTTAACTAATGCATCTAATAAGGATCGTTTCGAACAACTTTGCAAAAACAGACAGCACGGCAATCGGCCTATTTATGGTGACATCGGACCCAGGGTCTCTCTTCGGAATCGGTGTAATACTAGAAAGCTACCAGCAATCCGGGTACCTGGTCTGAACCAATGATATGTTGAACAGGTGCAAAAGCGGACCAAAAAAATCGGAATGCCATCAGGTCCGCTGGATGATCTAGCCTTAATACGCCTAATAGTTGCATTAAGATCAACTTCAGTTATGGTCGACACAGATATGAGCCTAGCATCCTTAATTGTATTACTTTCCTCAGCAGCATTAGCGGAATTCATGAAAGAGAGAAAAAGCATTTAATTTCTATACCAACTATAAGCCGCACGATAGCTTCGTCTCGCTCGTTTACAGTTTGACTGGGTATATATTGTACCTAGGTAGGTACTATATACACAATTCAAAACTAAAATTAAATACATAAAATAGAAAACAAATTGTTGTTAATTTCTGATAAGCTACAAGTATTTACGCGTTATTCCCATTATTCCCGAGTTGAAATTTTCACTGAAAGTTCTATTGCAATAAGATTCTTATGGGAATTAAGTATGCAGTTCTTAACGTACAGAAGTTATCAGTTCGTATAAAATAAAAATGAACAATTATAAAAAAAAATGTTTTTCCCAATCTTGTACGGTTTCACAGAATTATTTTTGTGCGAGGACCATTCGCTACTTTTAAAAATAAACTTATTAAAAACGGTCAAATGCCGATTCCAATTTAGTTTATAGTAGACCTAATCAAATACTTAGTACAAAAGTGGTGGTGCTATTTATTAAAAAGTCTAGGCTGTAAATTTAAATGGCTAATTAGTCTAGTAGACTACGATAGTAATATCATAATAATCAAATGGAAACCAGACTGCTGACCTGATAGTAGGACAATTACCACTAAGAAATATAATGCTCAAGAAATAATTATATCTGTAATATTCTTACGAGTCTCCTCTCTGTGGAAGAACCATCTCAATTTGTAACGGACCACCGGAGTCACCCTGAAAAAAAAACATAATTGAAAATACCAAATTGCAGGTTATTCAATTAAAGGAGTTATATAAACTTGAATTGAAACCGTGTGCAACAGCAATAATTCTGATGAAATTCCTATTCCTCATCGTCACCACCGTTAACAAATTAACTTTTAAATTAATTTGAACGCAGAAAAACCTGTACATCGATTTTTCGCGTGCATCACTGTGGAAGTGAGATTGCATGTGAAAAAATCTTAAATCTAAAATTTGACAATATCCAAACCAATAAAGGTTTGGATATTATCAAATTGACTGAACGGAAGTCTTTAGTCTTCTTGGTAGGTGTATAAGGTCTATGTATCCTGTCCTTGTTCACTGCTGCTTCAACAGTCTTGGCGAGATTTTGCAGTGGACTATACTTTATGGTGCTATCGAATTCTGACTGATATTTTATTTTACAGAATAGACCTGCTGGACAAGAGAGTCACTAATCAATCACCTGGCAAGCATCAACGCCTCCCGCTAAGACTCCTGCACAGATCTGATGTTCCTGCATCCCACACCAGAGCCTGTTGCACGACGGCCTCAACAAATCATCGCACAGTTGGGAATTTAGCACGTCCAGTACCACCACTTGAAGTTCAGGAGATAGTGTGTGATTAACTGCCAATCGAAACGAAAATTCAAAAGATGGATTTTTGGTAAAAATAGAATTAAAGGAACATATAAAAAGATTTCGTGTAATGTCACAATATTCCAGTGCTGCACCCTCGTAGCTGTGCCACCCCCTACATACGGCACAGCTACGAGGGTGCAGTACTGGAATATTGTGACATTACACGAAATCTGGATATTTGTGACGTTATACCGAGCTGTGAAACAGGAACGCCTGTCATCTGCTGTAAACTTAAGCTAGACATGATAACAAGGTCAGTACTTAACAGGGGGTGACAGAGCGACGGGGGTGCAACCCCAAATTATTGTGGCATTATACCAACACAGGATTATTGTCGTATATTATACTAAACTGTGGTTAAGTCCAGGGGGGTGGCAGAGCGACGAGGGTGCATCACTGAAATATTGTGATATTACACCAACACTGAATATGTGTGAAGTTATAGGGGGTGGTAGAGCGACGAGGGTGCATCACTGAAATATTGTGATACTACACCAACACTGAATATGTGTGAAGTTATAGGGTGTGGTAGAGCGACGAGGGTGCATCACTGAAATATTGTGATATTACACCAACACTGAATATGTGTGAAGTTATAGGGGGTGGTAGAGCGACGAGGGTGCATCACTGAAATATTGTTATATTACACCAACACTGAATATGTGTGAAGTTATAGGGGGTGGTAGAGCGACGAAGGTGCATCACTGAAATATTGTGATATTACACCAACACTGAATATGTGTGAAGTTATAGGGGGTGGTAGAGCGACGAGGGTGCATCACTGAAATATTGTGATACTACAACAACAGTGAATATGTGTGAAATTATTAGGGGGTGGTAGAGCGATAAGGGTGCATCACTGAAATATTCTGATATTACACCAACACTGAATATGTGTGAAGTTAAAGGGGGTGGTAGAGCGACAAGGGTGCATCACTGAAATATTGGGATATTACACCAACTCTGAATATGTGTGAAGTTATAGGGGGTGGTAGAGCGACGAGGGTGTATCACTGAAATATTGTTATATTACACCAACACTGAATATGTGTGAAGTTATAGGGGGTGGTAGCGCGACGAGGGTGCATCACTGAAATATTGTGATATTACACCAACAGTGGATATTTGTGAAGTTATATCAAGCTGTGGACCAGTAACGCCTGTGAGACATGATTATGATTACAAGGTGAGTACTTATCAGGAGGTGGCAGAGCGACGGGGTGCATCACTGGAATATTGTGACATTTCACGAAATCTGGATATTTGTGACGTTATACCGAGCTGTGAAACAGGAACGCCTGTCATCTGCTGTAAACTTAAGCTAGACATGATAACAAGGTCAGTACTTAACAGGGGGTGACAGAGCGACGGGGGTGCAACCCCAAATTATTGTGGCATTATACCAACACAGGATTATTGTCGTATATTATACTAAACTGTGGTTAAGTCCAGGGGGGTGGCAGAGCGACGGGGCTGCATTACTGGATTATTGGAACGAAGTTCCTTACGGCAGGCTTGGAGGGGATAGGGATTTTGCTGCGCGACCGAATTGAAAAAAAAATGTGATAGTAAAACCGTAAGAAAAAAATCCGTGGAAAAAAGTGCGTGGAATAAAACCGTTAAATGAGGGAACTTCGTTCCTACCTGGTGTCCCACGACACCACATCATTTTTTTCTCTTTTGCACGCTTTAGAAAACATCCTTATCGCTGATTGTGGTCTCTTTAGTTTAGGCAACACATGTAGATGGCGTTGTGAATAAAAATGCTGTGCTCTCTGAACTTAAGATTTTTTTTACATCAGTTTTAAGTACGCGCTCCGCGAAAAATGGTGACTTCGTAGATGTTTCAACCGAAATGATTTTGACAACCCAATTTTGTAGAAAACACTCTTTTCTCATTATTCAATCTGAAAGTATGATATATCCAAATGTTCCTCAAGATTTATCCGTGTCAGTAATGTGAACAGATCACAGTTTTATTTACGTGTCAATTAAGAACCTACGAAAATATGAACACTTAAAAGTAATTTAGCGGCCCGCGGCTTCATTTGTTACCAGCTATTTTTATTGTATTTCTTTTGCTATAGTTTTCTTATCTTAGGTTTATTTTAAATAAATAATTATAAAAAAATGCTGTAAAAAAATTGCAAACATTAGAATGCTAAGGATTGTTCATAAAACCATGTCTGTATTAATAAACAACTTAGGCACCTACCAAACGTTTAATACTCAACTATTCAGGTATTTTAAAATACTCGGCAAATTTAAATATTCTGTTTTAATTTATAATCGAATCTCAAGTCATAACGATACTAAAGAAGTTTTCATCAAAAATAGTTTACCTGTTTCCACAACTCCCCATCCAGTCATCGTAGCTTTTTTCCCAACTAATTCCGTATCAGAACCAGTGTAAAGGCATGCCGGATGCACGTAATTACTAAATTTAACTTCGTCCCTTAATTCTATTATGGCTATATCATTATACTTTTTCGGTGGTTTGTAGTCGGGATGACTAATAACTCTCAAAATTGTTGTGTCCAAATATGCATGGTTGATTCCGAATGCGTCTCTTTCCTAAAATTTGTATTTATTGTTTATTGTAAAATCACATTAAAATTAGCATTGTTTAAATCTGAAGAAAGGTTTACTAGAAAAAAATCCACACAGTCCAGGTTATTAGACGGGATTGGCGATACCGAGTAATTCTTTTTCTAGTAACATTTTCTTTAGATTTAAGCAGTCAAATGCTTCAAATTATCACTTCAAATATAATAATCCACGACAACTAAGTTTAATACTAAAATTATATTGATCTTAATATTCATAAACATTTAATTTTGCCAATACAACAGATTCTTACCAGTATATTCTTGTCGGCCAACCTCACGATCTTTGGATCGACATCGGCGATGGTAGTGTCCCTGTCAGACGCCTTGGAGCAGTGCGCCGCGGTCAACACAAACTTGCTGCTGATGAGAGAACCACCGCACTTGAACACCCATTGCCCCAAAGACGATTTCCAGCCGATGGCACCCTGAATTGAAAGTTGAGTCAAACGTTAAGAATGAAATAAACTACTGACAGACCCCTGATACACAATACATGATCCGTGGACACTTTAAGAAAATCTGCTCTAAGCCATTGTCTGCAATGATGGGGTTTGCTAATCGTCTAGAGCATAGCAAAAAAAAAAAAAATTATAATATTTCATACATTGCCAAATTTCCAGTTATTGTAAGCATTGCCTAGGTATTATATAGAATACCTCAATTATACATATTGCCGGTGACATATACAATGAAATATAACAAAATAAACAATAATTTTGAACATCTAGCCCTTAAATGTTTAAAACAAAATAAATATATAAAAAAATATACAAAAAAAAATGATTTAAAAATTGTACACATTAGGTAGTTCTAAGTTTTTATTGTTTAAATGATTTTAGAATTAAACGCCTGTATATTTACATTGAAAAATATATATGCACATTTACAATTTCGTGGTTTTTTTTAATATTAAAGGGGGCATACGAGCTGACGGCTCACCATATGGTAAGCGATCACCGTCGTCCATAGACACTTGCAACACCAGGAGTCTCACAAATGTGATTCCAGCCTTTAAGGGAAGGGTACGCTCTCTTGTTGAAGGTTTTCAGGTCGTATTGGTCCGGAAGCACTGCTCATGAGAATGTATTCCACAGTTTTATCGTTCGTGGTATTAAATTTCGACTAAATCGCAAGGTTGTAGATAGCCACGCATCAAGATGGTGTGTGTTGTAAATAATTCGTTAGAAGACTCACCATGTGTGGAAACTCCCCGGGCAGTGTCAGTCGGCCACCAATAGCAGCAGACACCTTCGGTATGATGGTCCCATGCTTTATACTATTATATATAATACCTGTAAATTAGTCAATTTATAATAAAAGAAAATACATGCGTGATGTACGAGTATTAATATTCGTAAATCTTCAAAATAATCCGTTTTGTCCCTTGATCACTCCATGGCATGTGAACGATTTATCGAATTTCATCCATTTCTTTTTTCTTAAGTTATACTTTGTAAAAGTTTTTTATAGATAACGATATGAAAGTTAGCTCGCAACTCCATTGGTTTGGATTTTAGGTTCTTTCCGATTTTTATAGGGTATCATCATCATCATCAGCCTCTTAATAGAAGGAATGGATGTAATAGGAAGACGGAGTCGTGATCCACCACGCGAGCCCAGTGCGGATTATTAGATGCTAATGACTGCAGATGCATTCGGGACCAATGGCTTAACGTGCCTTCCGAAGAGATCGGCGGAGCTCGAGATGACTTTTGGTCACCCATCCAATAAAAGACCATTGCGCAAGTTGCTTAACTTTTACGAACGCTGGTTAAATGCGCTAACCACCAGCATCATTGACCTCTTCCGTATTGGGTATATAATGATTAATATTCCATACATTACTAAACATGCTTCACTAATTTAGGACCCCTGATCTTATGGTTTAACCTTTTTCAAATCTTTATTTTACGAGTACTTTCGCTCTTAGGGACTTGCACTTTATATTTATTTGTTATTGTAATTCTGTTCCTTCGCGTGACATAATAATTCCTGTTGGACTTATATTGGAAAAAGACAAAACGCATGCAGTATGTAGACTTGTCATATAGTTATAATGACCCACTCCTCAATAAATTACATACATAATAAAAAAATAATATTACATTGATGATGGCTTATATTTTTATCCTCGCGTTCTTTGATGTCCCAAATATACTCCAAACATTCTGAAAAAAAATACGTTAATGTAAATCATTCCTTTCAATAAAACTTAAATAATAATATTAGGTATGCTTAAACGATACCCAAAAATACCAAATCACTTAAAAATACATTTGCAAACATAAGTCTACCTAATATAATCTAACCCTTGGTAATTAAGTGAAAATGTATTATATTTTGGGATGCGATTAAAAATAGCTGATGATTTACAAATGCTTTGAACAATACATCATAATTTTTTTGAATGAATGAATGAAAAATGAACGCGTTCGTTTGTGAAGTGTAGTATCATAATAATATATTCAAAACTATACGAGATATTGGACAAACGTTTTTGGAACGAAGTCCCTTTTTGGACGGTACGGACTTGGCGAATAAAAATATAAGATAACACTTTGAACCTTTGCGTTGTATTATAAATATAACATTCAATAGGTTAAAACGCGTAATTTAAAACATGTTTTGGTACCTTCTTTATCAAAAGATCTTTGTTTTTCTTGGATGTCAAAGTGACGGTAAAATCTGATGGGTGCTTACACAGTGTGTTTATCGCAAACCAATACACACGGACAGATACCCGCATGTAACGTCGCAACATCATCCTAGTCAAAATTTCAAAAAATCCGTTATAGTTTCTTTGAAAAACAGAGCTTATGATCTATGTGACCCTGAATATTGTCAGCAGGAGCTCAAAGGATCTACTCGAGTCAGTGATCTTAAATGCCGCAAAGGTGCTAGCATCTGTGGATGCTACCACCGGCTTACTTACCTTATGTAAAGGAGTAACAGACAAGATCGGGAATGCTTTGCGTGGAAACTCCATGCCGACAATATATACTCCTGGCATAAAAGTCAGTAACATCTTGGGCATCCCAATAATGTCTTGCCCTTACGAATACCGGAGGTTTACACAATAGACTGTAGCTGTGGTAGTTTCTACATAGGTCAAACAAAAAGAACCATACATCGCAGCTGTGAAAAACCGCCAGTCTTATAAACCAGCGATTGCAAAACACCTACTTGAAAAAGAATCCAATCATTGAATCGAGTTCTATCGTACGCAGATCCTTTCCACTGATTGCCATTTCTAATAGAGAGTAGTGCGTGAAGCGATTGAAATCAAGAAAACTCCTAATAATTTCAATCAAGAAGATAGTTTCATACTATCTGCATCGTGTAATCCAGTATTGGCGAAAGCAATAATACCTTTCTGTTCGCAGTCGGCTGAACTCCAGAATACAGCCATATTAATTTCGTTAAACGGACAACGTTACTCTTGTATGTAGGTTGGTGGAAGAAGATTCGTCATCGGAAGCGGAGACGTAACAGCAATGCATCCATTATGGGCAGAGAAGTTGTGAGTTACAAATTGAATACGGTATGCCTCAAGGAAGTATTTTTGGTCCTACGCTGTTTTTAATTAATGCAAATGATCTATGCGCCATAAATATCTCAAATTGTTTACTTCTTTCCTTTGCTGACGACACTGTTCTCTTCTCTTCTAGTGATACTTGGCGAAATGTTTTTCTAAATGCACAATCTTGATTTGATATGGTTGCCACTGGAACGAGCCCAACGGGCAGTTCTTAAAGTAGATACATTTAAGCCGTTCCTGTTTCTTACCGATGCCGTATACTCATTCTGCGAACTTTTATTGGTACGTTAATTACTTGTCTTGTATACATTAATACACCAACATTTCAAAGTACCTTTTGATATTAATAAAAGTGAACCTCGTCTCAACAAATTGATTTTCAAGAGAAAAAAATCATACAATAGATAATTTAACAAACGATTTCTACTTTTTCTAGGTTCCTTTATTTATAATAAAGTAAACAGGATGTTGCATATTTATTCACCAAATTACTGTGAACTAAATCGCATATTAACTCAATTTCTTTAAAGACTGACTTATGAAGAAACTGAGGAGATGTTACATGAGTTGATTCCTTACTACTCTTGCATGAAAATTATATAAAAAATATAACTTAACTTTGGGTCTTCTTGTTACAAAAGTTTTTTATTTTTGTTTGATTGTTAATCTTACTCATATTTTAGTTTTTTTACTTAAAAATATGATAACATGTAAATTTATTATATTGTGTCACTGAAGAGAGTGACATCATGTGCCTTTTATTTGTAATCTGAGAGAATCATTATTATTATAATCAACAGACGCACAGTGATCACGACCAGCGTAATCTGGTCGAAACGTCGGGATAAAGGTGGTAAAAAAACGTTTTTTTAAATAACGCGTTTTAACCCGTTCAATATTATAAATAAAGCGTAAGATTTTTCTGTTACAACCGTCAGTTGTAACAACTTTATTTGCGGTTATTAACTTCGTTCCAATGGTTCCAAACCGAGTATTCTACGCATAAACTTAATATGGTTCTACTAGGTTCGATAGGGATAGGGCTGCCATCTCTAAAATGTGGCAACCAGGATAAGACGCGTGATAACCCCGGATTTTGGAGCCCAGAACCCGGACAGACCAAAAAAAAAACAGTTAAAAATGTCACAAATCAACTTTTTTATGTTGATCTAGGCAAAAGAGCTAGCAGTCTACCTCATAATAAGTGGTCACTGCCCATGGACACTTGCAGCACCAAGGGCCACTCATGCGTTGCCGTAACCCGGACTACAAATAAAACCCTGCCCGGACGCTCCCCGGACGCCCCGTAAACTAGGACAAATCCGGGGAAACCCGGACGGATGGCAGCCCTAGATAGGGATCATGTTTCCTTTTTTTTATAATATTTTTAATAATGATAACAACTCTATCTGCCCTTGTTGTGTTTTAGCGGCTAAAACGCTGAACGCCTAAGTTATTTTGGGTTAGGTCCTTTTTTGGCCTTAGAAAAGAATACGATTTTATCGATAGCAAAAATAATACTAGAAAGGTAGAAATAGGTATTCCATGTAATTTTGTATGAAAAATAGATTTGTAACTCTACGCTGACGAAGAAAATATAAGTTCCTAGTGCTAAATTTGAAAAATATAAAATCTTGCATGATACTAACTCACGTGACTTATCCTACGACCCGGCGCTCGGAAGTCGGGCATTTTTGGAGGCTGGAGTTCGCATGGATTCACTTCTTCTGAGACAGAATTCTCAGTGACGTTGTGAGGTTCAGACAGCCTAACCTGAGAAAAATTCAACAACTGAATATCGGTCATAGACAAATAAATTTTACAAAATCGAACTAGAAGTACCACTTATTATGGTAGAATATGTAAACAAAAAAAATACATTGTCATCAAATTATGTATACCATATTCTTTAAAATATTTTTTTATCTATGTGACTTTATTAAAATCTGGCATAAGTAATGCCAGATTTTAATAAAGTCACAGATATTATAGAATATTTTTTTATCTATGTCACTTTATTAAAATCTGGCATAAGTAATGCCAGATTTTAATAAAGTCACAGATAAAAAAAAATCAAAGAATATGGTATACATAATTTGATAACAATGTATTTTTTTTGTTCACATATTCTACCATAATAAGTGGCATAAATATATTGTAAGATAAACAAATTAGGCAAATTTTACCATGCAATAATTATTAAAAGTGTAGCAAATAAAGACCAACATTACGTCATTTCAGTGTACCATGTCAAAAGTAGATAAAAATCTTAAAATAGACCTCCGTGAACGAGTGGTTTGTACGCCGGGTTTCGTGGTGTCGCCGACTCGAGAGGTCCAGAGTTCGAATCCCGGTGGGGCAGATGTTTGTGTGATGAATTGTACTCCAGTCATGAATGTTTAATATGTATTTCTATATAAATAAATGTACTGTATATGCATTATATCCGGTACCATAGTATCCCATAACACAAGCCTTACAGTGCTTACTTTGGGGCTAGGCTAATTGGTGTGAGTGTTGAAAATATTTATTTTATTATTAGGTATATTCTAAATATTTCTTATTCATATTTACAATTCATAACGCATTAAATTATTTATCTTATTTTATTATTTATTAAAATACCAGGTCAGGTTTAGATAAAATCATTATCATTAAAAAGAAAACTATGCTTGAAAAAGAATTCGATAATGTCATTTAAATTTTATGTACTCATCTACAATATAAAAGCAGTTTTCTAGAAGTCAAAAAGTCAATTTTCTTTTAAACATACTAAAAGGTAAATCTTTAATACTGTCAGGTAGTTTATCATAATATATTAATATTGCTTGAACATATGCATTTCTATTGAACATTTTGGTAAAAACAGTCTGTCCTTGTGTCTAGTTTGTCGCAAATACATATCAGAATGCCTAGGGAAATAATTTGGATTCTGCCTCACAAATATTCAAATATATCTTATATACATACATGGGAGCGGAAATATTTTTAATTGATTAAACAATGGTTTGCATCTTTCGATACTTCTAGCATTACAAATAGCCCTCATGTACTTCTTTTGCAGTCTAAAGGCTATTGTTATGTTAACTGAGTTACCCCATAGCAGCAATCTGTACCCCCGTACTGACGATACATATCCATGCCATCCATGGTATGCAGTCGTAGCAGCTTTTTCATAAATGAAATGGTAAAGAAAATCAAATAAGTTTTCACTTAAAAACAATTAGCGAAAACAATAACCCCCTTATTAATCAACTAACATTAGGCTTGGGTTAGCTAAATGATCTTTTGTCTCTGTTAATTGAATGACAAATGGCATTTGAGTGATATGAACAAAACACGGCCGAAGTAGTCTGAGCTTATTCCTTGTTTATTAATAATAATACGAGATTACGTATTCGATCAGCTAAAAACCAAAAAGCGAGTAGGTAATGCACAGCTTAGGCACATCCTCACGGCCAAAATTCCCCAGTGCCTGAAAAGAAGGGTCTATGACCAGTGTGTGTTACCAGTGATGGCTTATGGGACTGAGACGTGGTCTCTGAATGTCGGCCTCATAACAAAACTCAGAGTCGCGCAGCGTGCTATGGAGAGGGCTATGCTCGGTGTTTTCCTACGTGATAAGATCCGAAATACGGAGATCCGTAGAAGTACCGGTGTGTACGACATAGCCCGAAGAGTTAGCACGCTGAAGTGGCAATGGGCAGGCCACATCGCTCGAGAATCTGACAACCGTTGGATAAGAAAGGTCCTCGAATGGCGACCACGTACCGGACGAGGCAGCGTGGGGCGGCGCCCAACAAGGTGGACTGACGACATCGTCAAATGTGCTGGGAGCCGCTGGATGCGGATAGCGCAGGACCGCGCATTGTGGCGTTCTATGGGGGAGGCCTATGTCCAGCAGCGGACGGAGAAAGGCTGATGGATGGATGGATGGATGGAGTAGGTAATGCTTACGTGTGTTTTGTTTTCGTTGTCGGTTGTTGAGAAGCCCCAAGTCCATCTTTCCTCCTCTTCCTTTGAACAAGAATAAACATATCATTCCAAATAAAACATTAACGCATTAACCTAAAGTAAAATATGTAGTTGATGGTTCATGGATATTATATTAAAATACAGCATCAATAAGCTTACAAGAATCTTAATAAATCTAAATTAATATATTATCATACCTATTAGATTGAAAATGAGTAGTCTGTATACTACTATCGTAATGAAATATATATATTTATATGAACTCTTCTGACAGACGGGATCGCCCCTTTTTGGAAATAAATAATCCTAACCGAGTATTATTTATAGGAAAACAGTGATTACTGAATTGTAATATCAACAGGAAAATGTAAATACTTATAGCGTTTAACGGTTTTATATTCAGCTTACTTTGTTTAATATTTTGATTGTAAATTCCTCGTATTTTATAGATTTCTATATATGTGTGGTGGCGACATCTACACGCCCCGCATATAACTAACATGGAGGAAACAATCTTACGCCTCCTCAAGAGATGGCACTACCGGCGCTGCGTTCACAACGTAAGGAAGCCTACATCGCGCAAGTAAAATTCGGTAGACAACAGTTCATATATATGATGCCCGACCAATATCAGTCGGGTCGCGGCCCCCGAGCTACCATCATCCAGCTCGGAGGAAGATCTTCCCCTTTGGCCTTCCTACATATGTAAAACTAAGCCGTGTTAGTAAGAACACTTTTAATTGAAGAACGGCTAAAGCGATTTTTAATAAGCACTGATTTCTTCAATTTCTCTCTACCCCGAATAACAGAATCTATACTTTTTATAAGTGAATCTTTTATAAAGAGGAATGATTTGATTGTTTGTTTGTTTGTATTGAACGGGCTCCGAAACTACTGAACCGATTTGAAAAATTCTTTCACGTTTAGAATCCTACATTATCCCTGATGAACATAGATAGAGTATTTTCAATAAAAGTTAGGGTTACGTATGAAAACTTCGATAACGTAACCCAGGGTGTAAAAAAAAACAAAAAACTATCTTATATCGCTTACACTACGGAATTCATTGACAGTAGAGCAAAGTGATGTACTAAAGTTTTATAGCAGACATCAATATATAAAAAAGTTCGCGATACCATATGTCTAACTATTACAGTTATGTCGCAACTAAAAGTCCACTGCGGCTTCACCCGCGTTAATTTGAGGCAAAAGGATATAGATGAGCCAAACATAAAAGCTGGACATTTATGCTGTCGCGGACTTTTTAAGGGGAACAATTCCGCCATAGATGATCTTTCTTTTTTTTTTATTTGAATTTGATTTATAATCCTGAACTAAATGAAGCTAAAAGTTAAGGCATTCTCTTATTGTAAGCGGTACGAAGTTTGCCGGGTCAGCTAGTTATTTAATAAATTGACATATCAGTTGATCATTGTAGCTTTTAAGATCTTAAACTTTTTTAATCGCAGTCCAGTATACGATTACACTGATTACTGTAAAACTTAACATACTTACATCATTATCATCACCCTTTTAATATACCCATTGCTGCGGCACAGGAAGTCCTTATGGATGGAATAGGGAGATTATGGGCCGTGACCCACCACGCGGGCCTTGTGTGGATTGGTGGGTGCTAACGACAAACGATGCTACCGGGACCAACGGCTTAACGTGCCTTCCGAAGAGGAGCTCAAAATATTAAGTTTTTGGTCACCCATCTCATAACCGACCATTGCGAAAATTGCTTAACCTCCACGATCGCAGGAGATCCTCAATTCTTATTATTTGTAAATGAAGTAGGCAGTTAGTAGGCAATACAAGTCACTGACTTACCTGTTGCAAGCTTGTTATTGATTGAGGTATTGCTGAAGCTGGAAAATTACAAACAAAATGTTATCATTACGCTATATCAGAGTCATTTGAGGAGTTTAATTAAAGAAAAGGTAAAACTGTACCTTCTGAGCTCAGGAGATGACAGAGCTCTTTTTGTTGAAAATGTATTTATTGGTGAAGTATTAATTTTTTGGCACGGTCACAACACTTACCTAACCTAGCGTGAAGTGACTGTGCATCTGTCTGAACTCCCGGGACCAAAAACTACAGTTTTGCCAGAAAAAAGAATCATTTAAAAACAAGCTTTAATTATATACACTAAGCCGCAAAGAAACTGGGTCACTCTCTAGCAGCTTAGAATTCTGATTCGATTTTTCTTAATTGATCTCTCATTCCTTTCTAAAATGTTAAATAATTCGTGTTCCTAGAAAGATTCCCCGTTTCCCCATAACACCATTGTGTCCTCCTTTTCGTACAACAGTACATGGCTCAAACTCCCCAATACCAAAGTTGTCAAAGGTCCTTAGCGTTTGTAGTGATGATATTTTTATGGATTCACTTCCTAAACTCAAAAGAATATTGTCCCAAACATGGCATCAAATTAAGCTTAATAGTTATATGAATTTATTTATTTTATTTTTACGTTATAGGGGGCATACGAGCAGACGGCTCACCTGATGGTAAGTGATCACCGTCGCCCATGGACACTTGCAACACCAGGAGTATCACAAATGCGATGCCGGCCTTTAAGGAAGGAGTACGCTCTTTTTTTGAAGGTTTTTGGGTTGTATCGGTCCGGAAACACTGCTGGCGACAACATATTCCACAGTTTTGACGTACGTGGTAAAAAAATTCAACAAAAACGCACGGTTGTGGATAGCCACGCAAAACGAAAATGAAAACTGTATTGTAATTAAAAAGAACTACGTCATAACTTAGGAAATGAATAATAATAATATTGTAATGAACTTAATGTCTATATTTGGCGTCTACTTTAATGCATGCGGTGTTTACCTTAATAGATTGTTTCACTAGAGTGCATAGTTAATCTTGTAAATAGTTTGAAGTAATGTGTAAACAAACACTGGTAAACCATATAATAAATAAATAAATAAGTATAAAACAGTTGTAGTAGTTACTATCAATGTTATACTCATAGAAAGTGCGTTTCATAATGATTAAAATGACTAAATTTTTATTATAAATTACTGTCCACTTACTGTGTAATCAAGCAAGAAACATAATGCTAACGATTTACTAATTTTTAAACAAAGTTGCGATTAAAGGTTTTTTTAGAGTTCCGTACTAAAAGGGTAAAAACGGGACCCTTTTACTAAGACTCCACTGTCCGTGATGTCTGTCTGTCTGCCTGTCTGCCACCAGGCAGTATCTCGTAAACCGTCATGGCCAGGCAATTGAAATTTTCACAGATTTTAGAAGTTGAAGTATTTCTGTTACCACTTTAACAACAAATACTAAAAACAGAAAAACATAAATATTTAAGGGGGCTTTCATACAACAAACGTGACGTTTTTGCCGGTTTTTGGTCTATATTAAAAACGAAAACCGGTAGACGTTTGAAATATTCACAGAATATTTAATTGTATATGCAAATATAAAATAAATAATTTAATAGAAAATAAAATAAATATTTATGTGGCTCACTAGTGTCTAGTGTCTAATGTTGTTTAGATAATTGTACCTAACCCTTCGTGCGCGAGTCCAACTCACACTTGGTCGGTTTTAATAAAATGAAGATAGTCCATAGTTTATTCAGACGCGTGTTTTTTGCTACGTTTTTTCCTTGGAAAATTCTTAATAAAAATATGAGAATCAATAAATTCCTATTTATTTTAACTATCATAGAGGAGCTGTATGGCGCCAGTGGTTTGCGCGTTCGGCTGCGGTCGTTGAAGTTAAGGAACTTTCGCAGTGACCAAAAATATACTATCTCGAGCTCCTCCGTGCTTCGGAAGGCACGTTAAGCCGTTGGTCCCGGCTGCATCTGCAGCCGTTAGCACCCACCAACCCGCATTGGGCCCGCGTGGTGGGTCATGGCCCAATCTCCCTAACCCATCCATAGGGAAGGCCTGTGCCCCAGCAGTGGGGACATTAATAGGCTGATGATGATGATGATCATGATCATGAGACGCACTTTCTGTAGGTATAACTTTAATAATAGTAAGTTTCATGTTTTATGAGAAACTCAAATCCCAGTTCTGGGGTAGCAAGTAACCCGATTTATTTGCTTTCCAGTGTATATTTTATTTAATAAAAAGTTTATGCTGTATTTCAATTTAATATTTTGTATAAAATATATTTTTAATATTAAAAAAATGAGTCTATGAATTTCTTAATGAAACTGTAACTAATACGATTTTCAAAATCTATTCTTACTCGCCACTAAATCAAAGTTTCGCTTTAAGCCGCTTATAGATTCTTAGCTCCTGCTTAAATAACAACGTGGGTGCTAACGACTGCAGATGCAGCCGGGACCAACGGCTTAACGTGCCTTCCGAAGCACGGAGGAGCTCGAGATAGTAATTTTTGGTCACCCATCCAATGACCGACCACTGCAAAAGTTGCTTAAGTTCAACGATCGCAGTCGAACGCGCTATCCACTTGAGCCATCGAGCTCCTCAACCACTTTTGAATCGCAAAGTTTCAATCCCTAATCATAATAAGTAATTTTTTATGATCAGAAGTTGAATTTGAGCGATTATTTAATAAAATTTTAATAAACATACCTTGAATGAACACAAGACAAAATAACATTAAAAAATTCATTTCTCTCTTGAATACCATCACACCCACTCAACTGCACTTACTAGAAACTTTATTGAATAATAAATAAACACTAAATATTGGCAGTATACACAATAGCTCACATCAAAAGTTCGCGGTTCAATGACGGTCAACGCAGAACCTGTTTTAAATATTACATTGCCTTAACTACTTCATAAAATTCTCAATTTATTCCCCGTTTTTATCTGTATGATTCATTTATTACGTCACAGATAGCCGTCTGGCTATATGTAGGAAGTGTTTAAACTAGGCCGCGGAAAAAGTCTAATAAACATAGAATTTGCACACGTTCATTAGCACTCATTATTTATATAAGTTTAAATGTAAATAATAAGAAAAGAAATTCATAATATGCTAACTTGATACGATAATCTGTTATCGTGGAAATAACATATTCATGAATCTTAAAAATTTGATAAGTTGTTATTCTTAATCTAATAATACTAATTGGTTCAATATTTTGAACTCTATATAAAGAAATAGCATGTATTAGTAGTTCAACATTATATGTAACATTTTTGTCCTATCTGTGCCCATGGGACAGTTAAGGTATATATTAGTTCAACACTATATGTATTTTTGTCCTATCTGTGCCCATGGGGCAGTTAAGGTATATATTTCATACCATACCCCTATCTAATGCTGTCTTGATTTTTTATTATGGAATCAGCCGTTGATTTCCCTCACCTAGTCCTAGTTTCACACCAATTTTTAATACAGCAAATAATATCTAAATTAAAGTCAAATTGCGTCTCAAACTCAGTTATTATATTTTTTTTTTAATTACAAACGATAACCACTGGCCTATCTTCATCTCGCGCGTCGCAGGCGCCGCGGCGTGCGGGGAGTCTGTTCTGGCCTATGGCCTATGGTCGGCAGAGGTGGTGGGGTACGTCCTGTTTTCGAACGGGACGGTTCTAGGGGTCAATGCCCTTTGCCCTCGGCGCGATCAAGCCCACCGGGTGAGACCCGTGATGGAGGCCCAGTGAGCGACTTGCGACCGGGCGACGGATTTAGCGTGAGGGGGGAGTACCATTGTGTGGGGGTCGATTGAGATATTGACTTTTGGGACTGCCCGAACTTTTTAATGAAGTTGAATAGTTGCTATCCCATCCGGAGAAGCTACTGCATTGCATCTAGTGAGGCCGGTGTCGGAGCATGGTCTTGGGTGGCGGCACGGCGGTGGTTGATGAGGCGGTAGATGGTAATCTAGCGCTTTTCGCTGACGAAACCATCCTTTATACCTCCGACAGACGTCTCGGAACAGTCTGTAATAGACTTCAATCAGCCGCTACCATCCTTGGCGATTAGTTCCGTAGATGGCGTATCGAGGTTAATCCGGAAAAAGCGTCGCAACCCTATTTAGCACGACACCGCCTCCAAATGAGAAGAGCATCCAATCAAATCAATTATTTGACCGGGTCATCCCTTGGGAGGACCGGGTCAAGTACTTGGGAGTTTCGCCCACTTCTGCTTAAGACTACCTCGTGATGTGATTGTTTCTGATTTCTGGAATAATCCAGAACCAGGTTCTTTCTGGTTATAAAATTAGAAAAAGAATAATGAAGAACTGGCCATTAAACGTCAAACCCATATGGTAGCAGTACTAGTAAATTGGGATAAATACAAGTATTGGCATGAAAACAAACAAAAACCAATAATGTCAACTATATATTTATTTCCAGACGATGCCTTCGATCCAGTCGAGGTAACTGGAGACCCTGGTGTAGACTCCAGGCAGGTTGGGTAGAGCGCAGCCGACACCGAATGACGTCACACCGATTATGTGATACATGCGTCTACATGAGTTGGTGAGATCACAACTGTCAAACATAAAAAAAAAAAACTATAAACGCAACCACAAAAAAATCTCTATATTTAATAGACTAGCATTCAGCCCTCCTAGCATGACCATCAAACGCGATATATATACACTTTATTGCACACAAAAAATTGTAAGATACAAAACATAAATATGTGAGCAATGGAGGGCTTATCTCTAAGAGAGATCTCTTCCAGCCTACCAAGGTTCAGTGAGAGAAAAAAGTAAGCGGGTGTAGAGATGTGCACTAAGTACTTAATTTAGTACTTACTTACTTATATTAGTGTTTCTGCGAAATTAACTGTCAAACTACAATGAAGTTGGGAACGAGTGTCGATAAAAATACTTATCATAACATTACGCGGTGCTCATGCTACGGGGGCTGTACTGGAAGTAAGGAAAAAGACTTCAATAACCGACTTAGTGCGGTATAGGAACCTACTGCATAATTGGTCTTTTTTTTTTATAAGGCAGGTAAAAAATCTTTTTACAGACGACGGCGCCTTTAAGAGGCACACCGCCGAACGGACCTCACACCTGGCTCCCGCAAGTCTTACGGAACCCCTAGTGGCTACCCACCGAGGACCTAGCAACTCTTATATACGGGCGCTTTACAGAATAATATCCGCTAAAAAAGTCCTGCGAATACCTTCTACACTGCTTAACGCGGAGCCGCAGGGTCCCCGTTAGGGCTGCATAATTGGTCTAAGAGTTAGTGTTCCGCAGACTGACGGTATATTAGCGAACTCCATATTAATGCTAGGTATAGTATACCAGTCGTAGATGAAATGGGAATTCACTATTCCCATCGTGGGTTAAATATTCACATATGAAATCACGATCGAGTCTGGTTGAGTCATTGGTTGGCTCAAACGACTTTACTTAAAAAAACACCACTTCAAAAAAAGTGAGATGGCTCCAGCAGCTATATTTACTTCGGTAGATAATACGAAATGATAATTATAAACAAAAACTCATTTGTTTAAATTATTATTATTTATATGTTATAATAAAATTAAATGATTTTGATAAACGAAATTAATAAAATGACTTACCGACGATTTTTTTGTGGCAACTTCATTCTGATTTGCAACGGACCACCAGAGTCACCCTGAAAGCAGATAAGAAAGAGTATTTTTTTTAGATCCTTCCCTCTTTCCTTTCCTGCTATTCTTAAACATACATTGTATTTAAATCAATTGTAAGTAATTTTATCAAATTTATAGTTTTCAATTTTATTTTATTTGAATGAATTTAATTTAATGCAATGCGATGTAACAGTTAATATCGAATTAGTGTTATTTGTTTTATATTACTACATTTTTTGTATATGCATGTTGTGTTGCAATCTTGATCGATTCGTCAATTATTAATAATTCAGTACATTGTTGATTGCAATATGTTATGTATACCGAATAAATAAAATAAAATTGTGTACGACAAGAACGTGACCGGCGTTCTTTTTCTAAAATGCTTTGTAAGAAAACATAAGTTTGTTTTTTTTAACATAAGTTTTCTCTCTAGTTTCTTACTTAAAAGCACTATATTTCTTATATACAGGGTTACAGGAACAGTCGACCTTAGTATTGCTGATAGATTTGACCCTATGAACATCTGTCGAAAAGTTAACCGTTTAAAATAATGGCTTTGGCGTTTTTCTTAAATTACCATTTTTTGCTTTAATTTTATATAAGTTTCTTTTTTGGTCTCATGGATCAGACTTATTACTATTTATGTAGATGGCATGAAAGTCCATAAAAATAATAAATAATATTTAAGAAAACTGATATCTGGTTAAAGTGGCAGCTATTTAAATGTTTGAATGTAGATTTTTCACTCTGTTTTCGCAACTTTCCAATAGATTTATTAAAAAAAGTTCTGCGGATGTTAACCCGCAAGTTATAATTATAACTTACACATATTTTTAGATATCCGTAATGGTATAAAATTCTAAGTAAAATAGGCAAATAAACGCTGAAATGAACAAGAAAGTGGTCTCTGAACATAAATAGTAAATATTTATAAATGCACAGAACGATGAAATCATCATCATCATCAACCCATGGTCAGTGGATGACCATGGGTTGTTGGACATAGGTCTCCCCTAATGCACGCCACTGCTTCCGATTTATCACAACCCTATTCTCACTGATGTCAATGGTAAATTCATCACCATCATTGCCAGCCTATTAATGTCTCCATTCATAGTGCACAAGACAGGCCTTGGATGACATAGGGAGAATGGGCTATAACCCACCTCGCGGACCCATTGTGGATGGGTGGGTGCCAACGACTGCAAATGAAGCCAATACTAATAGCTTAAAGTACTTAAGTAGTATAGTAAGTAAGTAAGTAATTGTGGGTTTACCTATAATGCGAAGAGATGGCGCTGCCTTGCAGCTTAAGAATAGCTAGAAAGAATTTCGACGCGGTCCGTGAGGGCCGCGGTAGCATAATTGGTCAGTGCATTCGCCCGGATTGCGAAGGGTGCGGGTTCGAGTCCCGTCTGCTGCCTGGTCCGCGTGGAATTTTTTCTAGTTATATTTTCTTTAGATTTAAACATCAAGCAGTTACATGCTTTAAAAATAATAAAAATTATAGCTTAAAGTATCTTCTAAAGCACGGAGGAGCTCGAGATAACATGTTTTGGTCATCCATCCAATGACCAGCCGATGCGAGAGTTGCTTAATTTCCACGATCGTTGACCCTCTTGAGGCTCCTCGATTACTTATATGTTTGTATTTTTTACCTAGTTTTGTTCTTATTCACTAATTTGATCACAAATATGAGTCGAGTTTGCCTGTGTAATTTAATTATGTTGGGTATAACAGTGACAATATACAAAACAGGGCTCTAACATGGATTGAAGTAATTTGTTACGCAAATTAATACATAAATGTACCTGGCAAGCATCTGCCCCGCCCGACAGCACTCCTGCGCATATCTGGTGGTCTTGAAAGCCATACCAGTGCCGGTTGAAAGACCGCCGCAGCAGGTTGTTACATAGTTGAGTATCCAGCACATCCAGCAATACCGCTTGTAAACCACGAGACATTTCGTGGTTCCCTGGAAATCAAACTTATTTATATGAACTACCTACATATTTTATAGGAACTTAGTTTTATATAAACTTTTTGTCTGTAGTCTGAGCATAAGAAGATAAACTTTATTTTCTATTGCAATTAAGTAACAATACCCTTTTGGTGGTGTAGTCTATTTTCGTGGTATGAATAATAAATAAATATTTCCAACATTCACAACAATTAACATAGCCCCAAAGTCAGCACTTAGTAGAGTCATTTGGTAGTTTTACCTGGAAAGTTTTCCGGGAGTTTTGAAAATTGGTAATTTTTAGATTTTGAGGTGCTCTGTTGGCGCTCTTTCCGAATTTCGACTTTGCCACCTCCTATTTTTGCCACTCGCGCCGCCATATTGGCAAATTGGCGCCTAAAAGCAGTTTTTTGATAATATCTCCTATCCAACGATAAAAATAGTTAATACAAAATGAAACTAGAGACAATTGCTTACAATTTATGTATTTATCTTTTTTTCATAAAGTCAATAGTTTTGGCGTACGAGCGCCTCAAAGTGTAAACCAACGCGCGCTTTGGTCATTACTCATTATTCATGCAACCTGTGGCATTTAATTTCAACTCATTATATTTGTGAGTTATAAATTAATGTAAATCTTAACTATATTGACTATAGATATTATATTATACTATAATAGACCCATGATGTAGATGAAATACCGGTCTGTGACGTTTCGATTGGTACTACATACGATGAATTTGCAACACCTGGTCCATCGAGAACAACAAAGCGTAAGAGAATACGCTAAATTTTAGCACTTTGAATTGCATGTGGATTAGGCCTATTGGGGAACTCAAGGTGGTGTGGAAATGAGTTTTTGGCCAAAATGCGCGTTGGATTACACTTTGCGGCGCTCGTACGCCAAAACTACCAACTGTATGAAAAAAATGGAAACATAAATTGTAGGCAATTGTCTCTAGTTTCATTTTGTGTTGGAAAATGTCGTAAAATGAGTTGGAAGGGAGATATTATCAAAAAACTGCTTTTAGATGCCATTTTTCCAATATGGCGGCGCGAGCGGCAAAAATACGAGGTGGCAAAGTCGAAATTCGGAAACAACACCCCAGAATTTATAAAATTATCAATTTTCAAATCTCCCGGAAAACTTTCCAGGTAACCACTATATTTCTCACCAAATGACTGTACTAACTGTAGACCAAAGATATCAATCGTGTAGATTTGTGTTATGGGTTACTAGGGTAACGGATAGAATACATATACTGATACATTATATAAGTATCTTTATATAGAAATACATATTAAACATCCATGACTAGAATAAAAATGCTCGTGTTCAAACTCCACCGGGATTCAAACCCGGCCACCTCTCAATTGGCGACATCTTTAAATCCGGCGTACAAACCCTTCGGCGACGGAGGTCGTCAATGTAAGATTAAAGACAAGCTCAAGCATTGCTGCTGGTAACTGCTTACCATCAGCAATGCTATTCAGTAAGAACAATCTCACTTTTCACCTCGAAATCCGCGGTGTCATTTAAAATCGAGGAGCTCGATGGCGCAAATGATTAGCGCGTTCGGCTGCGATCGTTGAAGTTAAGCAACTTTCGCAGTGGTCGGTCATTGGATGGGTGACCAAAAATTTACTATCTCGAGTTCCTCCGTGCTTCGGAAGGCACGTTAAGCCGTTGGTCCCGGCTGCATCTGCAGTCGTTAGCACCCGCCAATCCGCACTGGGCCCGCGTGGTGGGTCATGGCCCAATCTCCCTATTCCATCCATAGGGAAGGCCTGTGCCCCAGCAGTGGGGACATTAATAGGCTGATGATGATGATGATGATGATGATTTAAAATCAGAACACGGATATCAATAAATTTGAAATCAAACCGGCGAATTCTGCGGTAAATAATTAGTTTTTTCTTACAGAATAGCACTGCAGGTGGGATGTGGATGGGATATATGCTTTTTTGCTATCCTTATTACATTGAAAAAAAAAGTGATTGAAAAAGATATCATACATGGTTAACAATCCAAGATGCAAAATAAGCAGCAAGTAGTCTAGTAATGGTCCTGGAAACACCATTTCATTAGGACTATGACGGCATAGTAAGCAAATATATCCACGGAAAACGACCCAATTTATAGGCGTATTTTACCTAATCAAATATCTATAGTCGACTTGGTAAACATCACTTTGACCAATAACGATCTTATAGTTGGACTACGTAAAACTGTTTGCGCTCGCGAAGCTAACTATCAGAGCTTAATAGAACCAAACACGCCAGTAACGTATACAATTAATCTCTTACAAGCTCATACAAAGTGTTGTGAATTGGTGAATATTTCTGCGCACATTTGTAATAATTAACACTGATAAAGGTAAGTTATTCATCCATTTCTTATAAATATTATCTGGAATATCGATTATGAGAACAGTGTTAGTTAATAATAAGTCAGTGTGCGGTGACGCGGTGAAGTCCCTCAACGGGGATCTCGCGGTAGAGGGTATTCGCAGGGTTTTTAGCGGATAGTATGCTTAATACGATAGTATATAAAAAAAAAACAATAATTAAGAATAAAAAAAACTATCAAACGAACGTGGAGCGTACAATTCCATGTTGGCTGACAAAAAAAACGGCAAAATATTGATAACACTTTCAGTGCTTTCACTTGCGTCACTCGATTGAAGTTGACGATAAGGTTTTCTTTTCTATTTCATTTATGAATTTAACTGATTGGTGTTTAATAATAATTATTATTATTATTATTGTTTTTTATGTGGTTTATATGGCTAAATGGCTGAAATAAATTAATTGAATTGAATTGAATAAAGAATTTATTATTAAACACAATCAGTTAAATTCTTAAATGAAAGTAGAAAATAATGATGAAAAGTCTCTTTTAAATTAATATGCATACTTGAGTCCACTACCCCCCACCCTGTCATGTAAGCCTGCTTCCCAACCAATTTGTTGTCCGGGCCGGAGTAAAGGCACGCCGGCTGAACGAAATTCGTGAACTGCACTTCCTCCTGTAACTCTATGAGGGCAATGTCGTGGTACTTCTTAGGTGCTTCGTATTGTGGATGATTGATAATTCTCGAAATGTAAACGTCCACATAATCATTTTCGTTGAATAGAAGCAATTCCGCGTCGCTCTGAAAAGATATAACTACTTTTGATTATTAATATTACTTAAAACTTAGTCGCCTTTTATAGACATTGAAAACTGCCTGCTGGCGCTTTTAAAATAAAGTCCCTATATCTAACAATTGAGCGTCAATAATTTTAAAGTTACTAATAAAGTTCTTACGAATAAAGCGTATTATAAGGTTTCAGAGTGATCAGGGGGTTTGGAGGGTCCAGAGGGAGCCAGGACGGTCAGGGTTGAGAGGGAGGTTAGGGTCGAAGGAAGCCCTCGACCTCACCTCACACATACCGCGGAACGTTGAAATAGCTCGTGACAACGTGACATGACGTCACACGTTTTCGTGCGTGCAGCCGGTGCTCATCGATTTAGGGAAAAAATATAGACGATTCAAGAGTTGTTGAATAAAGTAATTTTGAATATTGAACTTTTTGAAAAACGGTTTGTTTTGTGGTGTCAGCTTTAGTAATGTACTATTACCGGTGATTCACTCACAATTATATTTTTCTCAGCTAGTCTAACGATCTTCGGAAAAACATCAGCAATGGTTGTGTCCCTCTCAGAAGCCTTGGAGCAGTGCGCCGCTGTGAGAACAAACTTGTTGCTGATGAGGGAACCCCCACACTTGAACTCCCATTGGTCCAACGATGAGTTCCAACCGATGGCGGCCTGCCATTAAAAATAATATAGATTTTAGGTCCGAAAGTTGACACGGCGAAGTAGTAAAAAATATTTTTTCAATAAAAAATTGTGATCTCAGTATTACTACAGTCAGGGTTTGAGACGGGATTCGAACCCACGTCCTCCACTAACCGCCCTGATCCGGATCCGCCTGGATTTTTTTCTAGTAATATAATCTTTAGATTTAAACATCTTGTTGTTAAAAGTTTAAAAATAAATGTACCTATATAATGACTTGTAGTGCCAACTGTTGGACCCAAAAAGTACAATTTTACTAAAGTAATTCCCAAACTAGAATTAAAAGAAAAACCAGAGAATGCGTCAGCTGAAAAAAGTGGGTACCTGCGACTTCGTCTGCGTAGAAAAATTGGTTACCCATACATACTTCGACATTCCCCTTAAATATGATTTCTGAGATAAAAATTATGATATGTACTTTCCTGGAACTCGCATTATTTTTTTACGAAATTTCATAGAAATGCTTCAGTGGTTTAAGCGAAAATTGAAAAGTGACGGACTGACAAACACACTTTCGTATTAATAATATTAGTTTAAATTAATCATCATTATCAGTCTATTAATGTCCCCACTGCTGGGGCACATGTCTTCCCTATGGATAGAATAAAAAGATTGGGCCATGACCCACCACGTGGGCCCAATGCGGATTGGCGGGTGCTAACGACTGTAGATGCATCTGCAGTTGGGCTTAACATGCCTTCCGAAGCACGCAGGAACTCGAGATTTTTAGTCACCCATCTAATGACAGACCACTGCGAAAGTTAATTAACTTCAACGAGCGCATCGAGCTTTGAGTTTGGATTATTTATATCTATTATTATGTATTTGGAAATTCACAATCAAATACGAGTATTAGATAATGCGATCTCGTGACAAAGATTTCTTCAGAAGTGTCCTAATACAGCCTGCAAGCCGTCGCACGAGCACAGGTACATTATCTTCATCGTACGATGAGATCGTATCGTGTCATCGTACGATCGTTGCCAAAAAGGACGACGCCTTACGGTATTGGTCTCACCATGTGTGGAAATTCACCCGGTTGTGTGTCGCGACCACCAACAATGCGCATGGAAATGTGCCAATCTGTTCTGTAGCCAGTGACATTATTTATTTCTCTAATAAAATTTGTGCCTAAAACATAATAAATTCAAATTAAACACGCAAAATAAAAGATTGGCTAGTTGCCGGTAGTAAAAATAACGTTTACGAATTCAATAGTTTCTTTACAAAACACCCAATTCCACTTGATGTTAAGTGGAGTTCAAATGCGAAGACAGATGATGCGGCAGAAGGTGTGCCGCTCATGCGTATCGAATTGGGTTCAAGCCGGCAAGGTGAGGATACCTTGCCGGTTTGAACCCAATCCGATACGCAACGGAGCCCTAGAACCCTACTCACCGGCAGAAACACAACACCACCAAAATTAGTGTTATTTCAGTGTGGCCTTCTGTATGGTGGATGTTGCTTCCAAGATGGGCGCAGATGGTTTTGTACGAATAAATTTGCAGCCGCAACGTACTTAATTTTTCAACACCTTTGCTCAGAAAATACATTTGAGGTTGTATACATTGTTCGAAAGTCGAAAATTACGGGTCATACAACGGAACGTGCGGTAAAACATTTTAGCGCACGCTCTCATACATGGCACTTTACAGATTTTATTTTTTCTTTACAGTTTTTTTTTTATTTCGGTCGAATTTCACTAGTAGATAGGTGAAAAGGGGATTGGAGGGCGATAGTGGTGATTAATGGGTGATAATAGGGGATTGGTGGGTGATTGTGAAGATTGGTAGGTGAAAAGGGAGTTTTTGGGTGTAAAAGGGATTCAAGGGTGAAAAGGGATTCGAGAGTGAAAAGAGGATTAGAGGGCTAAAGAGATTCGAGGGTAATAATGGTATTGGTGGGTAATAATATGGTATTGGTGGGTGATAGTGGGGATTGATGGGTGAACAGGGGATTGCGGCGTGAAAAGAGGATCGGAAGGTAAAAGGGGATTGAAATGAGTAATTGTGCCCTACCACAATTCGAGGGTAAAAAGGGGTTAGAGATCGAACAGAGGATTCGAGTGTAAAAAGGGGGATTGGAGGATGAAAGGGATTCGAACGTGATAAGGGTATTGGTGGGTGATAATAAGGAATTGGTTGCTGATAATATGGGATTGGTGGGTGATATTGGGGTCACACTAGCACGTGGTGGCAAGTGGAAATGCGCGTCATTTACGTCTTAGAAAAAGTTTACTTCATTACTTCAAAGACATACTGTTTTCTCGCAAATGTATTGGAAAACGTTGTATGACATTCGTGCGGAACTGATATTTACAAACTCATGACTATAGTGAACCCAAGGGCGGATCCAGGTGGGGTGTCATGGGGTCATTACCCCCCCCCCCCCTGGGCTGGGTCCATCTGTACCCACTGTGAATTGACCACGACTATATGACCCCCCCTTTTTTTTAATACGCAGGTAAACAATCTATTTACAGACGACGGCGCCTTTAAGAGGCACACCGCCGATGGACGTCACACCTGGCTCTCGCAAGTCTTACGGACCCCAGTGGCTGCCCACCGAGGACCCCGCAACTCTTACGGGCGCTTTACGGTATAATGTCCGCTAAAAAAGTCCTGCGAATACCCTCTAAGCTGCTTAGCCCGAAGCCGCGGGATCCCCGTTTAGGGATTCTTCCGCGTCATATGACCCGGGGGGGGGGGGGGGGGGCTGGCTCCGAAGCTGGATTCGCCCTTGAGTGAACCCCGACTTCGTCTCGGGCTTACATTCGTCCACTGGATTGTAATAACCACCTTAACGCACTCATTTCATAAATAACTATTACTGTAGCTTGTCATCTGTAAACACACAGTTAATAACTGGGTTCCATTGTCACCCTTTGGGTAGGGACGGAATCCTAAAAAACAATAACAAGCTGGTATCGATTTTGACTTAGATTACTCAAAGAAGTTCGATTAAAACAACACTTAAAGTCTTTCATATAATGCTTAGGAAAAGAAAACAAGTCAAATACATAAACATAGTTTAATAGCATCCGCATTGCAAAACATTTTATTGCAGAGTAGGTACACAAAATAGATATTGCAGAAGGTAATCTCATGTATGTACTTAATTTTAATACGCTCGGCGGCCGCGATTGTCAACTTTGGCTAGTGCAAAAAATTGTGGTAATAAAAAAAGACAGAATGGGAATATAAACCAATATTAGCTAAAGTATTTCAATTTTAATGATATGTCTCAATCGGATGGAACTCGCGCTCGCAGTCCCAAGCGGTCCGAGATATCGTGTCCGTGAGCTGTATCTAAGTGCGCGTTGCTCGAGCGCATTTTGTATGTAGATAACCTTCTGTTTATCTATTTTATGGCAGGTACCTATCGTATATTTGGAAATTCACTGCGACCGAATAAAGAAATAGCTTACTTACACTGCTCATCTCTTCTTTTTTTATCTTCTCTCTCTTTTATGCTCCATATGTACTCCCAACATTCTGTAGAAACAATATTACTACTTATTAGATAATAATATATGTATCGTAGTCATTACTTAGGTATTATTTTATAGATTTCACAAACTCTAGTGGCCCACCCTCGCTTCGCTTCGGTGTAGACTATAGTTTTATTACTACACTAACTAAAGTTTATATCTATATATAGGTATGTATATAAAATAAAACAAGTTTCAACGGGATTATATGCGCTGATATTATTTATTTATTGACGTAAGAAGGCTTATATGCATATATATATATATATATGCCTATGACACTCACAAATAACGGACTTTCAACGGACTTCCAAAAGGAAACACATCGATTTCCCATTGCTCAGATAGTTTCGATTGGGATCGCATCGTAACCACTTGCTATTCCATTCTTCAGGTATTTAATGGTAGGTCTTACATCAGATTCAAGAATATCTGGCTTCAGGCACGGTAATATTATCTATACAGTATTCTATCTTCATACAAACGGTCGGAAAGCGTGTCATACCTACGCCACTCGAGTTCGCGCGGCGCCCGGTGGGCATCCAGTCGCGAATGCGTCGCAGTGACGACCGAACGGTGTCAATTGTTTTTTAAGTGTGTTAAAAAACAATTGACACCGTTAGCCGTGCTTAAACGTTTGTATTGTGAATATTTGATTGAATTAATTAGATACCTATATAATTTAATATGGAAATAGTCGATATTGTGCTGTTTTTGGTTGCTTGAACTCTTCAATAATAATTAAACTTTTTATACGAATGCGTATTTATTGTACTATTAAATTTAATAATTTCGTACGTCTCACTCAGTCGAGGCGTAAATATTTTTCTGTCTCAAATCTATATTTTTTATTTATTAAATCCGAACTATTATTTTTAATATTATAAATGCGAAAGTAACTCTGTCTGTCTGTCTGTCTGTTACTCTTTCACGCCAAAACTACAGAACAGATTTGAATGAAATTTGGTATACAAATGGTCTAGACTCTGAGAAAGGACATAGGCTACTTTTTATTGCGAAAAGGGGGTTGAAAGGGGTTAAAAGGGGGGGGGGGGGGTGAAAAGTTGTATGGGATTGGGAACTACGAAGGCAAACTTTTTGTATACAAAATCTGAACCGCTGAACCTAGGAACATGATTTTTGGAAGTTTTGGGTTTAACAAGGTAAAAAAAAATTGGTTTTTGAAGTTAAAGTTCTTTTTAACGAATACTCTGCATCGCCGCCGCTGCCGTCGGTCGTCGGTTGTCGTCGCGCACATTCGCCGAAGTGTGGCGGCTTTCAACGGCGCTGTCGTGTGGTGGGGGAGCGCACGAGTCTAACTATGCCTACCCGAACGTGCAGACACGTGAGGGCAGACGTCGTTGTCGGACGCATGCGATTAGAGAAATTTGCGCTACAGAGAATTACATTTTTCCATCCAGTAAAATAATTTTATTGTTTCGTATAATTTTTAAGTATTTTTTATTGGTTGGGTCCTGTAAATTAATTTTGTACTTACTTAATATTTCGGGATCTTTTAGTTCATAGTTAATAGTAGGTAAGATAGTTTCCGTTACTCCGATCTCAGTTCAAAATCCGATTTGCTTTTATTTCCTTTTTTGAATTAATCTAATAAGTCATAGTAGGTGTAAAACTAACTTAACCTACTTACCTCCTACTCTTTTTATAATGCATAAAAAGAGTAGGAGGTAAGTAGGTTAGGTTAGTTTTAGTTGTAAATAAGTATTGATAATTTAATTTCTTAATTTCTTTGTTTCCATTTTAACGTGACTTAAACACATCGCCGTGTGGTGAGCGCATCATTTTTACTACGTAGCTGCTTATTAAAGGTTTTTTTATGATAATAAATCTCAATTTGAACATCTGTTTTGTTCGATTCATTTTATTTTTGTTTTTCTACGATGACTCGCAAACGAAAGTCCAATTTAGCTAATAGCTCTAGCAGAGCTCGGGCTGCTAAACTTGCTAGATCACTGGAGTCGGAAAAGGATTCACAGATCCGTCGGACTTTAGATGCCGAGCGTCACGCAACTCAAAGGGCTGCTGAAACTTTTGAGCAAACGCAGACCCGTCATAATTTAGACGCTGATCGTCATGCTGCACAAAGGGCTGCAGAGACCTCTCAGCAGACCCAAGCTCGCCAAGTCTTGGATGCCGAGCGTCACGCGGCTCAAAGAGCTGCAGAGACCTCTCAGCAGACCCAAGCTCGCCAAGTCTTGGACGCCGAGCGTCACGCGGCTCAAAGAGTTGCAGAGACCTCTCAGCAGACCCAAGCTCGCCAAGTCTTGGATGCCGAGCGTCACGCGGCTCAAAGAGCTGCTGAGGCCTCTCAGCAGACCCAAGCTCGCCAAATCTTAGATGCTGAGCGTCAAGCTTCGTACATAGCCGCAGAGACCTCCGAAGAAACACGTACACGACGTTTAATTAATTCCGAGCGGCAAGCAGAAAGGAGACGTACGTTTACGATGAATACGTGGGAGGCATTTGCCGATGCTGCTTTTGATTATGATCCGTTAATTGATTACTTTAATCATCGATTAGTCCTCATAGGTAGAATGGCCAATAAATGCAGACACTGTGAGGCACTCAAGTGGAAGGAAGAGACCCCAGGTATGTGCTGTTCTGGAGCCAAAGTATCAGTACCAACGCTTGGTGACCCCGACGAGCCACTTAAATCCTAACTTCTATATGACAGGAATGAATCTCGGCGATTTATAAACAGAATAAGAAAGTACAATTCTTGCTTTCAAATGACATCATTTGGTGTGGGTAATGAAGTCATCATGCCTGGATTTTCACCTACATTTACGGTACAAGGGCAAGTTTATCATAGGATTGGCTCATACTGTCCACAACTTGGAAGATCTTAAAAACAACGTCTATCCTGGTTTGGAATATAACATGAGAAATAGAGAGTGGCTGTGTGAAAGGGCAATATTAGCACCGACCAACGAAATCGTGGGACAGATCAATGAACAAATGATGTCACATGTGCAAGGCGATGTTGTCAAATATTTGTCAGTAGATATTGTCATGGACAGTGAACAGGTGACATCTTATCCTACAGAGTTTCTAAACTCTTTAGAGCTGTCAGGAGTGCCGTCACATAAGCTGAGACTGAAAATTGGGGTTTCCAGTTTTGTTAATGAGAAATCTCGAAGCGCCGAGACTGCAACGGGACTCGATTGCAAATTACGCAGCTAGGACGCAATATTATTAGAGCAACTATAATGACAGGAATAGCTAAAGACGAAGAAGTTTTGATTCCCCGCATACCCATGATCCCTACAGATTTACCTTTTCAGTTTAAAAGAATCCAGTTTCCCCTCAAACCAGCCTTCGCAATGACCATTAACAAAGCGCAAGGGCAAACACTTAAAGTAGCAGATGTCAATTTAGAGAAAAACTGTTTTTCGCATGGCCAACTGTACGTGGCCTGCTCGCGAGTGTCGAGTCCAAACAATCTCCACATTTGAACAAATAATAACAAAACAGCAAACGTTGTGTACAAAAATGTTTTAAATTAGGTCATTTTAAAATATTTTTGTACCTAACGTGACGCTGGCCCCTGTAAGTGTCTCTTGAACATAAGGGACCAATAAATTTTCCTAGGTACTTTCTGCCACTCAATGGAATACATAGGAACCTTATACCTACTGTAAACAAATATTTTTAACTTTTTTTAAATATACCTACTAATGATTCTTATTAAATAATTAAAAATGCTACCCAAAGATACTATTCCACGCGGACGAAGTCGCGGGTAACAGCTAGTATTAAAATAACATGTATTTTATGTAACACTTCTTAATTCATTCACAGCATTTTTTTTAAATATGAAATTACAATCACAAAACTAGAAAGAAACTCAATTATGTAGATGAAATTAAAATACTGTAGGCGGGCAGCCCTACCGCGTGGATACGCCCCGCTCGGCCGTAGGCAGTTATTTCAAGGACAGGGCCGAGTCACAATACTGTATAGATAATATTACCGTGCTTCAGGTTACCAGTCTCAGGATAACAAACATTACCTTTTTATTATATTAGTATAGATAAGTTTCAATAAATCATTTAAATAAGGAGATCAATGTTAAATCTTCTAGCTCGTTAGATTACTGATCTGCATTCACATGTTTGAATATTAACTAATGATAAAAATGATATGATAAATGCAACTTATTATGTTGTCTTAAAAGATAAAATACTGACTCACGCGGCTCATTCGCCTCCCTGGTGCATGGAAGTTGGGCATTTGTATATTTTCTTTATTACATGGGTTAGGTGTTATTCCAACTGCCCGCAGTAATGTATCATCGGAACGCTTTTCCTATAAGTAAAATATAATGCGATTCAAATAAGAATAGGAAAGCCATCTATCAAATGTCGCTTGAAAAGTACGGTTTGCAAAAAATCTTGGAAACCTTTTTTTGTACTAGCTAATTCTAGAATAAAAACCACACATTTGTAAACAAACAATAACAAATATTGATAAATTAAATTTGGTTGAAATTTTTTTAATTTATTGAGCTTTGGCTATGAATGGTTGATAACCTAACCCGTCAACCAAATGTCACTTTAAGTTGTATTAAGAAACTCAATTTAAAACTTTCGTTTACCTAAAGGATGCATGTTCGTATGTGACCTAGTAATAGTGCATGATTATTCATAACTACTCCGGCGGTAATGCAGAGATGAGCGAAATTGAAGAGCTAGATTCTGATTTATGTTTTTCCCACACAATCTTAACAAATAAATATTATTAAAAATTACTTGTTTTTTTTTCTCAATCTTAGTAAATATTTTAATAACAAAAACTGATGTTTTTACTCACTTAACCTTAGTTAGAAGTTTTATTCAATAAAATCTTTTTTTTTCTCACTCTACCTATTTGATTTGAATTGACAGCTATGACATCAAAATATGGCGCCCAGTCGGTCCTATTCTTAGTTGAATCGCATTTATAGGTATTTGAATATTGTCACTTTTTCTTGACCATCGTGTTTTCCCACTATTTCAAAGATAGTTTGCACACAATTCTAAGAAAGAAAACCTAGCAGAAAACTGTTTTTCTTTATAAAATCAAGAGAAATATGTTAGTACTAGTGGCCGTAACTTAAGTTTTGAAGCGGAACTGCTTTACGCACGCTTGACTTGGGGATTAAGCTGGTGAACGCGTTACGCGTTACGAAAAGTGTGACCGAGCGAGGCGAACGGGAGTTGAGTCGAGGGTATAAGCAAGAGATTTCACACGCACATTTTCTTTTTCTCTTTCTCTTATAGCTAGTAAATGAAATATGTATATGTACATACCTACATGTTTATATTGTACACACACATATATTTTAATATCTATAATTACTACTAATACTAATATTTATATATATATATATATATATCTGTGTTTGTTCGGATGGAATCTTGCAACTCAATTTTGAAGCAGATATCTTTATTCGATTGAGCTGAAATTTCGTACACACGTTTAATTTGGATGACAATGACATGGTTAGCTGTGTGACGTCATTCTAAATCCTATACGGCGTAAAAAACAAAATAGCGGGCTAGTTACTTTTGACTCACTCCTACAATATGGGTATTCAATGAAAAGGCTTGCTGAGAATAACTCGGAAAATATAGTGACGTCACCCTAAATCCAATAAGGCGGACTTAAAAAGATGGCAGACAAAGTTTTTTTATACTTTCCTACAATATGGGTATCAAATAAAAGGTCTTGCTGAGAATAACTCGAAAAATATAGTGACGTAACCTTATATCCAGAATGGCGGACTTAAAAAGTTATGAAATGAAAAGTCTTGCTGAGAATATGAGGTTATTGAAAAAATAATTAAAAGTAAAAGAAATCGGCCGAGTGCGTGTCGTGCCACGTGCAGTGTGGGGTTCCGTAGTTGCCTTTCGTTACCACAATATATTTGAGCAGGAGTCTATATGTTCTCAAAAAAAATAATTCAATAGGTAAGAAGTTTTCTTTAACCAAAGTTGAACGACTATTACTCTTAAACTAACATATATAATGTAATCTTACCTGTTATAATTTTCCTTAAAAGTTCATAAAAATCACTATTCATTTTTTCCAGATTTTTCAAGTCAATAGTTTAGCTTTTAGAGAAGGCGATGCCCTACTCAAACTAAATTAGGACTTTTAAGATCAATATTTCGCAAACGGATCCCTAATCGAAACCCCCCTTAGTAATTTTAAAAAACCCACCAAAGATACCCCCCACGATGGGATAAACGATGAAAATAATTCTACAATTTTCTCGTCGTAATTGATATACATATCTCCACTTAATTACAGCTCTCTAGTGCTAACAGTCTCCAAGCAAAACCGGGGACAGACAGACAGATGGACATGTCGAAACTATAAGGGTTCCTTGCCAGGACTACAGAACCCTAAAAAGGGCAAAGATATTCCTAATGTTACACTGTGCCCCTTGTAACACTGTGCCCTTTGTAACACTGTGCCCTTGTAACATTGCCCCCCACTACAGCCTACTCTTTTCTTTTCTAAAATTTAAAAACAACCTTTTGATTATGTGCTAAAAATAAAATAAAATTTTCCTTTTAAACTTTTACTGTCAACTTGTAACGTCATTAAACAAAATTTCATAAGCTTTTACCAGTTAGATAAACAAAATTTGATTGTATTATAATTTTCAAACTATTTAAATATCAGTTAACCTATTTAAACCTAAACAAAAAGATATGAAAGAATGTCGTTGGAGACTTCTACTTTCTTTAATCCCGGAAGAACATGGTGAAAGTTATATTTGATGAGAGTTGAAAGTCCACATAATTCAAGAATTGAGCAGCAGCGAAAATGATAAGATGAATGTCATCTTATCGATGAATGTGAAAAGATATTGGAACGTAAAAATAAATTAACAAATAATATTGATGATCTAAATGATTCGCATAACAGGAAAACCCACAACCTTTAATAGTTCCTTTTAAATCGAATCATGAGGAACTATTTAAAACTAAATTTATAGATATTGTTCTGATATGAATAGTAAATTAACAGATAAATCTATTTTTTTTCTTGAGGACTATCTGATGACCTCTTCAAATTCATGAATCACAATATGTACTTATTATTTATTAAATATCAAAGTTTTATATGGATTGAGACATAGGATACACTTTATCCAGAAAAGTCTTAAGATATTTATCATAATCAGCCTATTAATGTCCCTACTGTTGGGGCACATATTTTCCCTATGGATGGAATAAAGCAATTGGGCCATGGCCCACCACGCCGATCCATGGCGGATTGGTGTGCGCTAACGATTGCAGGTGCAGCCAGGACCAACGGCTTAACGTGCCTTCTAAAGCATGGAAGAGCACGAGATAGTAAATCTTTGGTCACCCATTCTATAAACGACCACTGCGAAACTTGCTTAACTTCAACGATTGCAATCGAACGCGCTAACCACTTGCGTCATCGAGCTTCTCGCTGGTATGGTATTATATAGGTTTAAATTGCTATTGTAAATTAAAAGTCTACACTTTTATTTTTTATAATTACCCACAATTTTTTTTTCTGGCGCCATGATATATCACAAAAAAAACAACATCAGCACATCTAACTGTAAATAATTTGGATTAAGAGTATAATAGATATAGGTCACCCCTAAAAGGCTCCACGCTGATCAGTAGCCCGAGCACGAACAACTATCGAGAAAGTATTCGTATCGTCATTAAAATTTTTTGGGAAGCTAGTTTGTTCTTACGTCTGATAGGAGCCACAGAACACAGAAAGACATTAGAAAGGTAATCATAGACCGTTTGACGGGAACCGATATCGCTGGCTCACCCCAACAACACTTCTACCTAATAGATAATAATAGCCAATTAAACAATGCGTCATCAAACAATCGTACCAATCAGCGTTCACACCCAAGAACAAATACGCAATCAGAAGAAAATTTTGCTCAAGTTATGAGCATTTGCTCACATAACTGTGGCGGGCCTGCCCCGCCCACACAGCCCTTCTAACCTCTTTCTGTGCTTCTTGAACGCAGCGTATTTTCCATAGAAACTTTGACTGATCTGTCAAAGTTCGTGCTTGGAGTACTGTTCTGAGCCGTCTGCATCCATCGACTTCCCGCGACCTCTACTGAATTGCCGATCCGCCATTTTTTATGTTTAGGAAAATGTGTGACGCATCCCTCCCCTCCGGGTAAGAAACGAGGTTATGAGAGACTCCTCCTCCCCCAAATCCCAACCACCCGCTTAGCTAGGCCACGGGACCGGCCCAACGGAAGTTCTGGACAAGCCCCACCTTGCCCTATCCACTAAGAACCTAACAGCGTCACCTGGTCCGCCGGAATGGGTTTCGTGGGATCCAAAAACTTCCCACGGTTACCTCCGGCAGTTCCTCCTCCTTCTTGCGGTCGGGGATTGTCGACCCACCTGGTAAGAGGCCTTAAATCTTCAATATCAGGTGGAGTATGTAAGTTTCTAGTGCTCTTATACTATTTATAAAAACGTGACGATAGCGCGATTCAGAAGCCGTTGGTACAGCGGTCGTTATAAACAAGCAATGACTCCATCTAAGTCACTTTAAATGTTTTCATCGAAGGAATTTTTAGTAGATAAGATTTTTTTAAAACTAAAGTTGAACGACTATTACTCTTGTAGTAAAAATCAAAAGTAATTGATCTATCTTAACCGTTATATTTTTTCTCAAAAATTTATGAAAAGCATCAATCATTAATTTTTCCAGATTTTTCAAGCCAATAGTTTAGTTTTTAGAGGAGAGGGGGACGCAGTACTCAAACAAAAATTTGCACTTTAAAGTGTAATATTTCTCAAATGGATCCATAAATCGAAAATTAGTCCTCGCAACCCCTAAGTCATTTTAAAGGACCTGTTCAACGATACCCTGCACGATGGGGTAGACGATGAAAAAAAAATCAGGACTACAGAACTCTAAAAAGGCGAAAGTATTCCTAATGTTACACTGTGCCCCGTGTTAAATTGCCCCCCACTTTAGCCTACTCTTTTCTTCTTCCTCGTGTTTGACTCTATCGCCTAGGCAAATGCTGAGTCCTAAAGACTATTCAGTTAGTTGAGACGAGAAATTGTATGAAGAATGGATTGTTAATTATTTGCCGATCAGATTAAGGCAAGTTACTAAGAATATTTTAGTTACACTCACCCTAGCCACGATTAAATTTTTGGTTGGTGGTGAAATTGATATAACTGAAAAAATAAAATGTGTTATTGTTACACTATGGCCTATTTACACCACATTATAATTTATTAATATTTACGATTACGACATAGCCGTAAAATTGGTTGGATGTGTAAGAAAAAATCTATTAAGTGTATACATTTTATTAATGTGTAAGGTAAGTAAATGGTAGGTAACTCTATTCTCAATAATTATATCGATACGGGAGCATAAATTTATAGCACTACAGAATATTAATGCGTGACTAAAATCATATTATGCAAGGTAGAGAATTTCCGTTTGAGGAAAACTAAAATATGAGCAACCTAAAATTTCTTACAATTACAACTTACGAACTTCATATATTTATCAATTAGTAATTATTTACATAATGTTTACGTAGCCTCTACTATATTATTAAAAGCTTACCTTTTGAGAACACTAAGCACAAAAAAGTAAAGCAATAATTCATTTTTTTTATATAAAAACTGTGTTCTTTGCAACAAAACAAAAACCACCTTTTAAAAAAGTTCGTACTTAATAAATATCATAACAGACGCAAGTGAACAAGTACTGCTACAATATCTGTATGATAACCTCAGCATAGTGGGAGACAATGTTATCTTCTTACTATTAAAAATACATTTTATTATTATGAGAATTTTAGTCTGTTTGAGAACATCGCAAATAGAATTGTTATTATTATTATTTTACTAAAAAAGTCATTCATTTGTTTTTACGTGGAGCCTGATGACGCAAGTGGCTAACGCGTACGGTCTGCGATCGTGTAAGTTAAACTACATTCGTGATGGCCGGGCCTCGGACGGGTGACCAAAATTTATTATCTCCAGATCCCTCGTGCTCCGGAAGTCTAACTGTTAGTTCCGGCTGCATCTGCATTCGTTTCAAAAATCCGTACTTGGCCCGTGGTGGGTCAGGGTCCAATCTCCCTATTCCATATAATATATTACGGAATAGTGAGATTGGTAATTGATATACTTTATATATGTAAAATAATTATTTTTACCTGAGACTGATCTACTTGTTTTCATAATTAAGCATTCTACTCATGATAGCGTATTCTAAACGACATAATTTAAGAGTTTTGTAACTCCAGTGTAATAATGATATAATATATTAGTGTGACATCGTTGAAAAGCTCTTTTTGCTATTTTTTTAACGACGTCCGTGTTGCGCGTTGCTTGTGGTATGTACGCCGTGTTTCAAGGTGTCGCTTATAGCTTTATCGTCGCAGAGCTTAAGGGTTCGAATGCCGGAGGGGAAAATGTTTGTATGATGAATACGAATATGTGTTTTCTGTTCGTCTTTCAGTCTGAATTCCGAAAGATTTGATGTATGTTTGTAACCAATTGGCTCAAAAAGTACTGGACCGATTTTAAAAATTCTTTCACCATTTGATTGCTACATTATCACTGATTAATAAAGGCTATATTATATTTTCAAAAAAGTTAGGGTTCCGTATGAAAACTTCGATAATGTAACCCAAAGTGTGTAAAAAATAGCCTTATACCTTATAATTGTCACAACTAGAGGTCCCCTGCGGTTTCACCCGCGTTAATTTGAAGAAAAAGGTTTATAGTGAGTCAAACTTAAAATATGGACATAGGCTGTCGTAGATTCTTTTACAGAACTTTTAAAGGGGAAGAATTCCGTCATACATGTTTTTTGTGTAACTTTAAACGTTAAGAAAAAAAAATAGTCTTGCTGAGAATAACTAGAAAAATATAGTGACGACACCTTAAATCTAGTTAGGCGGACTTTAAAAGTTGGCAAAATAAGTTTTTCTTGCTTTTTCGTTTTGCTTACTTTGGAGGTATAGCCTACCTCCAAAGTTCACAGTGTTAGAAATATTTATTTATTGTGTAAATTTTATTCTGAAATTTCATAAAAATTGCATTTTTCTCCCCTTTTCATAAAAAACAATATTCGAATTCCAGCACACCCCGCTATCCGGGCAAACGCACTACCGAAATATCTACAAAATCATCACTTCATTCAACTAGAACCTAAAGCAAAATTGCTTTCATAAAAATTTCCATTCATTCCGTTGGGTTTTCCGTTTTTCTTACGGAGAATTTTATTGTAAACAGACAAGCGACAATCGCTTAACAAACTTCCACCAAATTGATTGCAGGATATGATTTATAGTCGCGATCGGCTCACTCATTGTGTAAAAGCGTTGTCGTCCGCATTATACCATTCATTTGAAATACAGCGTAAATACACTGCTGGTACACTATCAATCACTGCGACGACTGTCTTTGTGAGCAGCAGCCCGCTGAATCTACCTACCAACTCTGATTATCGGAAGTAAAAGTGATTAGCAAAAAGTTGTTTTGTTTATACGAGGCGCAACAAATTGACCACCATCCATCCATCAGCCTTTCTCCGTCCACTACTGGACATAGGCCTCCCCCATAGAACGCCACAATGCGCGGTCCTGCGCTATCCGCATCCAGCGGCTCCTAGCACATTTGACGATGTCGTCAGTCCACCTTGTTGGGGGCCGCTCCACGCTGCGTCGTCAGGTACGTGGTCGCCACTCGAGGACCTTTCTTACCCAAAGGTTGTCAGATCCTCGAGCGATTTGGCCTGCCCATTGACTACACCTGGTGTTAAGTGTAAATGGAGTCCAGTCGCGAAGTTAGATGATGCGGCATAAAGTGTGCCGCTCTCGCCATCTTCACTTTGCCGGCTGGAGGCCCAAGCGTAGGGTTACCAACCGTCCCGATTAGTACGGACATGTCCGGACTTTTAGACTATTGTCCGGACTTTGCTCGGATCTTTAATTGTCTGGATTGTTTAAATTATATTGAAATTGAATAATAAAAGTACATATTGATTTAAATACCATACCGTTGTATCTCATAAGTGCACACTTTTTTCTATATGTCAGGATTTTTGTCAGGTCTTTTGAAAATTCCTTAATGGTAAACCTACCCAGGCACGAATTTTGACAGCGTCGTAATCGTCAAATTTTGTATGCAAGGAGCCAGTTTGTTCTGACGGCCGGTAGGGGCGCTGCTTAGTTTTCGTGTTTCGAGTTTCGAAAAAACTACTTAGAGGTATTGTGGTCTTCTGTAAGGTGGAGGTTGCTCCCCCACATGGGCGCTCCAATTCAAGCGGGAACTCATTTTTAGTTGAAATGTTGACCAATCTTACATGAAACGCAGTAATCCCTATTTGGTTCCAAGTCTTTATTTACGTACGATAAATATATAGTAGCTTATCATTTAAAACTCACGCTCAAACATATACATCTTCAATTTACATTAACTCAGTTTGTAAATTGCTAACATTTTTTTCTATTAATAGATTGATTAACAGCCTGTTTCAGGCTGTTTCAATGCTGTTTTATTAAGAAATACGCCTGTTACAGCTTTCTTATCTGGATATTATTATTATTCAGACATATACCCAATCTGTTGCTAAGAAACCGAACCAGATTATCCTTACCTTTCACTGGAAGTGGAAGATGTAAAATCTAATCTAACTCAAATTATCACTCCATTTCATGAAACACGGATCCAATTGCTCCATAAACTTATTGGAATTCTCGTTTACATTGTATTTTCCTAAATTCAATGTTGTAGTCGTAGAAGTCCTTTTATAAATTTACTCCAGAAAATCTACAATATTTGAAAAATAAAACTAAATATAAGCACAATGACATTTACACGGACTGAGGTTGAGCAAGCGCACACAAGCTGCAGTCGAATTTATTCATACATTTTGTATAGTATCGGCGCAAACCAAACTCGATTGAGTGGTCGTTACTAGCCACTAGAAGCGGCGATCGGTGGTTGCGCCTAGTAGCTTGACTGAGCCATGTAGTGGCTCAATGTGCGTTTGCTATTAACTCCTCCAAATCCAATTTTCTCTCTCTTATTTACTCCACAAACAATAAAATATCAAAAAATGTTCTCAAACGATAGATTTTGCATGACATGACGTCTTAAAAGAGCTGTCTGATCAAGTTTTTCTGGTTTAATCAGATTATTGACTTTGCAAAGTTATCGTGGTTCAACTTTAGTAAAGTCAACGGAAACTTTTGACCGAGACACTAGTTTTGTTCTATGGCTCTCCGAGTAAATGTCTTCCTTGGTCTGTGGTGTGTTAAACGGTCAGTACTGGCGCACGATCACTGACTCGCACTGTTTACATGGAGTCTGTACTGTTTCCAATTTAATTTACACTATGCCAGTATCTATGAGCACTGACTGTTGACTCGAAATTGGATTCAGTGACCGATAAGTCAGATCAGGGCTTGTTTACCGGTTAATTTTCAAACCTAAATCAGTGTCAAGTACATTAGGAGCGTTTTATTTAGGTTTGGCTCTACCTTAACCTTAAAAAAACCGGTTTTTCTAAAAAGCGAAATCAAATAGGTTTTGAATCAATTAAGCGGTTTTTAAAGGGTTTCATTTCGCTTTTACTGACGGCATCGATAATAAATGAATAATTTGACTCACTAGACGCTAGCAAACGTGTCAATAAATGCATCAATCTCTGAGCATTAACAAGTTGTAACTAGATTAGTTCAAGCAAAGCAAACTTCAAGCTATGCCGACGCGTGCACGTGTCGTTCTAGATTAAACCGGTTTATTAAGGTCCGAACGAAACCTTTACTAAAAACCGGTATTAACCTTTATTTACCGGTATTTTCGAAACCCGTTTCAAGCCCTGAGTCACATGACCCTACTAATATTATAAATTTGAAAGTTTGAATGTTTGTTACACAATCACGCAAAAACTACTGATCGGATTGGGATGTAATTTCGTGCTCATGTATTTTATGACCTGGATTGACACATAGCATACTTTTTATCCCGGAAAAGTGTCAGGTTACAGAGGGATTTAAAAAAACTAAACTTAAAGCGGACATAATATTTTTATAATTTTTTCACGGCTCCAAAATCTTAATACCTTTTTTTCTAGTAAACTTTTCATTACATTTAAACATTTTGCAGTTAAATGCTTAAAAAATAAAAACATAACCAAATACCTTTCTATAAAAACTTAATTGAACTACCAGGACTACATGAATTTTGACAAGTGTAGAGGACAGTTGAATAATTCACCGCACTCGTTGAGGCAAATCACGCGTTTCAACTCGAGCATGCAGTTCCTAATAGCCATCGACAGAGAATGATGTACTAAAATAGTAATGCGGGCGACTTTGGTTTGCTACTTGGATTTATACGTTCCTGGTACGTGACGTGTAGTCTACTGACTTTACTTACTAGTAAAAAAAACTTTTTTTTTTCTTTTCGCCAGGCGGGGCGATAATTTTGACGTTTTCCATGGGCAGGCCATTTTTACCGTCGTATGTGCGTTGCCAAAATTGACCGGTAAGACGGCGGGCTTATCGGGCCCGCCGTCTTTGGTGCTCCTTAATGTATTTACGGAAAGTTTGTCCTTTCCTAGGAGTCTCCTCGGGTGTAAGCTGCCTTTCGTGCTTTGTGCCTAAAATTCAACCCCTGAACTGAAAGCATATTGAAAGTGATCAACAAGTTAGGACAAGTGAATTGCAATAGGGAATATGCATGTCATTCATATAAGACTAATTTTATTTTTATTCATTAATATAATTATTTGGTTATTTACATACAAATATTTAAATTACAAAATTTTAATTTGTAATTTAAATATTTGTATGTAATAATTTTAATATTATTTAATGTCTAAAAACCTAAAATAGAATTATTTTAAAACTTACCTACTTAAATAAATAAAAATTAACAAAAAGACATATCTGCCGGTGCC